CTATTTATTTAAGACTAGCCCGTAAATGTCGTTTGCCTCGTAATTAAAGATAATGAAATTTTTATGTTATACAAACGCCGATTAATCATTGATACGTCTGTTATATTCAACAGGTTGCTCAATTTAAGAATATATAAGAACAGTAATACGAAAGTTTTGATGAACTTATACTGCATTCTGCATGTATTTATAAACAACCCTGATACAAACTTGTGTAATATTATATAGGTAAAACTGTTATACATTTGATATATTTTTTTTTTTTTTCAAATTTATAATAGTAAGTTGGACCGTTCCTAATTTTCATTTTTTTTTTATTCATTCCTCTTTAATCATTTTTCAATAAACTTCTTCTACCGAAATTTATTGTGTGGCATATAATATTATACTAAGTTTACGTACGCAAATCCATGTGATAAATGAATGTTGGTTTAAATTTTCAAGTGAAATCTATAAAACGAATATGAGTCAGAATTTTTTTGTAAAACCAGATCAAAATGTAAAAAGCAAATATGTATATACATATATAAAGCAAAAAATGAAAAATAAGAGAAAAAATTTATAATATAGAAAATGGTTAAAACTCTTGGAATATAATGGATTCCTTTGTATTAAACACATATCACGAAAAATTTCTATTTTAATATTGAAAATTGCATCAAAAATACTGCCATGCATGTTGCATATACATTTATTGTTTGTTATGCTACTTTGTTTGTAATATAAAATTATATATACACACATGTATAAGTAAGTTTAAATCAATTTCTTTTAATGGCACGTACTTAAGTTGATCTCATCTTACATTACTAGTAAAAATGGACCCTAATTTTTATTTATATTGTAATATTATAAACTTTCATAATTCCAATTTATTATGAACATTTTTCTTCAAATTGTTGTTTTAAATGGAATTTTATAAAAATAAAAATTCATTTACAATTTTGTGCGCTTTAAAATGATCCTAGAGCATGAGAAAATATTCAAATGCAATTATGTAAAATGAAAAATTTGCATATGAAATTTACAAAAATTTCATAAAATGCTTGTGTGCATATTTAAAACCGGTTTCAATTTTGAATTAATTTTTATAATATAAAATTTGAGGTAGGCTCTATAAATTAACATGAAAAAAATTTATTTTAATAAAATTTAGAAAATTGGTTTGCTTTCAGTTTTACAATTCATCTTTGATTAACCTTGATATAGTGTATATTAGTTAGAAGACTTTTCAATCAAATTACCGTAATACTGTATTACAATACAATTCAGGTTATAAATGTTAAGCAATTGTTGACAGTAATGCAGTAGTAATTCAAAATTACTGCATTTTTGAGGTTAGGATATTTTACAATTTAAGTGTTTCATGTTACACTGGATGTCTTTTAATTGTGAGCACAAATGGTAACACTTTTGAAAAAAAATTTATGATTCTTACTGCAAAGTTCAGCACATTGAATCGGATGGACGGTATTATGCTAATTATGAAAAATAGCAAAGTGAAATAGAATTTTATGCTTTGAAAATATTTGCCGATTTTTTCATAGTTTTCATAATTTTTTTTTTTCTTATGCTACACGTCCATTCACTTTTTATAATTTTCTTTGGCTTAGCAATTACTGTTGATTATAATTAACATGTTTTTTTCGATTTTTTGTTTTTTTTTTTGTTCCAAAGAATGGTTTTTAAAACTTCAAGATATTTTTTTGATGCTTAATGGAAATTTTTGTTATACATTTTTATAGTTTTTTATTACTGCTGTATTAAGCAATATTTTTTATATATAAATATAGTGTTACACATTATTATGTATTCGTTTTATGCATTTCATTTTATATCTGAGTTTCAATAATTAAATATTCATAATTAAAATTAACAATCAACAGGTTGTTGTTTGTTGTTATTGTTTTAATAATATATGCCTAACAAATTTATTTCTGTTTTTCGAAAAAGAGTAAATATGCACGTGCATTGTAGGGGTTTAAATGTAAAAATGCCTTATGTGTAATTCTGTATAATGACATGGAAATGCTTACTTGTTGTACTTTAATAAAAACTTGAAAAACTATGAATAAATTTAACTTTTTACAATGAATGCCAAAATGATTGAATTATTTTATAGATTTTCGAATTAATAAATTATAATAAAATAGTCAGAAAAGCATAGTTCAAAATACTGTTAATCAAAACATTTGAAAATAAAAGCGTTTTAAATCTGTTTTACTGTTTTTGATTATTTACTGACATTTGCTATGATAATATCGCCAAAAATTGTTGATCGATCTTCGTTGTGTACCAAATTTAAAAAAAAAGGCTATGTCCATGCTCCTATCATAAAATCATCTACTATACTGCATAGCAGTTTTACCTAGTCTGTCCAAACTAATGAAAATTATTCGATTCTATGTATAAAAACTGTAAAAATTTGTTTTTTTTTACTTTCGCTCTTTAAATGGCAACAGGACATAATAAAATGTTGTTCTAAACTAACAGCATGTTCTTGTATTGGAAAAACTCTCTTATCCAAACGTGCAGGTATAAGTAAATCAAACAAAATATATAATGTATAAATAGTAATTAAAAATATAATAAAATTAAATAAAACATTATGCGATTATTAGTGTACTACGATGAGCATTCGTACGTATATACACATATGTATATTTAAATTTAAATAAATCCATAATCTTGTATACAAGTATGTACGTACATATACTATAAATTGTACAATTTATCTTATGAATTAAATAAATTCATAATAATATCATATCTGATATAATAGCAACTATTAAAATTAATTGAATATTTCCTATCGTCCCATCCCACTCCACTTTCTATAAATAAATATAAAAATAGACATGAACATGATCATCATATCCATGGTACCTACTCTTCGTCTATTTTAGAAATTTAAAATTCATAATATATTTAATATTGTTGAGAATAAAAAAAAAAAAAATTATTATTCCTAAATTAGGTAATAGAATTACACCAGTCATGTACTGATATTTTATGATCATATTTATGTATATTCCTACATTTATACATACAAACTGTATATTATGATATTTTGTTATAATAATGAAAATTAAAATGATAACATAATAAGAAAAAATATCAGCCGAAAAATATTTTCAAGTCCATGTATATAGAAAGCAAGTAGCAATGAGTGTAGCAATGATCTTAAAAAAATTGTTAGGTATATTAAACATTATGAATGTGAGTAATTTATTTTCTATCTTAAAAATTATATTAAAATATAAAACAATTACAAAATCATAAAAACCATAAAGTATACTATGTGTAATTTATGTGTATACATACATATGAATGGATATAAGTACTCAGTAGATTTCTTATACACACATACATATGTGGCATAGATAATTTTGCATCTGTAAAAATTAATTTTATTAACAACAATCAAGCATAATGAGTAACTAACGATTTTACAAAAAAAAAAAGAAAAAACAAAAGAAAAATATTAGACTCATTTAAGAAAAATTAAAAATTCCGGTAAACAACAACAATAAAAAAAAAAAATAGAACTGTTCTCAAATTTAAAATTCTCAACTCAACTAATTTAATATACTCTCATTTTTCCAAATATTTTTTTCTCCAATTCTATTTGAGAAGTTATCCAAGATAACAAATAAAATAATACTATCATCATAGTATCATAGATAAATTTTTAAAGTAGGTAGATAAAAAACATAGTGCAGAATGCAGATACAGAGAATATACTTGTTTTTAAGAGCGGCTTTAAAATTCCTATTTTAAGGAAAAAATCTCTCATTTCTCTAAAAAAAATTCTATCCACTGATTGATATGCCTGAAGTTACATTACAAACAAAGCGATCTTATATGGTACGTCAATCTGTCATTCTTCATATAAAATTTTTATAATAAAAGCTACATAGAAATTATTTTTTTTATTAGTATTAAAAATTAAAATTTTTGCTTATTTTTTACATTTCACCTGGCTTTTTTTTTAATAAAATAATAGTATAAATATTTTAACATATGAATGTAGGTATTTTTCTTATTTATATACCTTTATATTTAACAAATACATTGAAATACATTCTCTTTATTTAGTCTTCAATATACCTTTATATTACATTCAGGTATTTTGTATATATACATACATACATGAGTATATAAATTATTAAGATGAAATATTATTAGACATTTTTAAGCATTATCATCATTTTGTGTAACATCAGTGGCTTAAATATTTTTTTGCAGCTAAGCACATCATTATACTTCTATACATACATATATATACATATCGTCGGCAAAACTGTGATACCACGTAAGTGCAAATATTTCCAAAAGTACTTTACCAATTTTCTGTTTAGGAAATGTCAAACAATCCATCTTTTAAATTTATGAAAATATGAAAATTATTTAAAGAATATGTAATTATTTATTAGTTTTTACTGTTTCGTAAATTTTAAAGATGAACTGTTTGAGATTTCATAAACAGAAAATTGATAAAGTACTTTGGGAAATATTTGTACTTACGTGGTATCACAGTTTTGCCGACGATATGTAAAATTTTGCCTACCTATATTTAAACATTAATATTATGTATTTTGTTAGTATTTAGTGTACACCTGTATATGTGCATAAAATATACATTTATATTAAAAATTAACGTGCGCTAAAATATAAAAATGAGAAAAAGAAGAAGAAGAAGAAGAAGAAAAAAAAGAAAAGTAGAAAAATACCATAAATGCATTTCGATTAAAATTAAATAATTTTTTAACTCTTTTTTTTTGAACTTCATCTCTTCTCTGTTTTAAAAATCATCCACACACAATTTAAACTGGGGAAAACCAGTAGTTAAAAAAGAATCACTTTTTTTTTTTAAGTATTAGTAATAAAACTCTAAGTATGTATGTATGTATATAAAAATTTAAAAATTTAAACATTAAAAAAGTTGGTATGCTACTAGTTAGTAAAATACCCTTTTTTTTTCTTTTGGTTTTTTATTATTGGGTGTTTGGTGTAAAACGCAAATCTGCTTGAACTCAAAGCTTGGAATTGAAAAAATTAAAAAAAAGGTTATTTTTAAGAAATACATACAGGTATGTTCAATATATATACATACGTTATATATGAATGTATATGGTTATATATATAAGTACTTGATGTATGCATGTACATATATATGCAGGTATTTAGAAAAAAAAAATATATATATATGTATGCATACATTTTTTTATTTTTTAAATTAATGAAAACAAAAAAAAAAAAATTTGCAAAAATTCTATGTAGGCAGTAACCGTAAATAAGAAAGAATTAACAATATATAGAAGATATAGAATTTCCATCACAATTTTAACGAAAAAATTTTTTCATAATATCCAATGTTCGACTATAGCAATAAAATTGTTGCCAGATTTTTATTAAAAAAAAAATATTAGTTGTAAAGGATCAAATTTTAATTTATATTATATCGAATATGTTTAATATACAAATCTATATTCTCGCATATAAACACCAAAACGACAATTTTGAAATATTCTTTAATATTTATACTTATACAATACATAAAAAATTAAATAAAATTAAGACATCAGACACAGATTTCGATCAACAAAAATTCTTTTTCTTAAGCCATTTTTTTTATGGCTAGGTAAATTGTAAAAATTTGGTAAATTGTAAGTATTTGTTCAATACAATTTAAAAAGTCTGGAGCTAATATTGTAGATTGTAAACCCGAGGTAACAGGGCTCGAGATATCGCCCTCATGTACTCAAGCAATTTGTCAAGCGCGGACGACCATCATTAGAGTAAAATCCCCCATTATTTCCCCTCTCGCGCGAGCAGTTTTAACACACTCTCCCAGAAGATGTACTGAAGTCTCCATATCTTCCTCACAGAACCTGCGGAGTATCTACACTTTCCAGTTCCAGCGACAAGACCCCGATGAGGATTCTCACTTGATCCTTGCCCCTCCCTATAATTTTTTTAAAACGCTTCTGGTCATAATCTCGAGGAGTTTCTTGGCCTACCGCAGTTCCGGAAGACTTGTCCTGCGCTCCGACCGTCTACTCTGAGATTCCTTTAACTAATAGTATGTAGTCCGATTTCGCAGAAAGGCCTGGTGCTAATATAGCTAAAATGGGAATAAATGATTTCACAAAATTTGCATAAGCATTGTTACATAAATCTAGCATTACAATTTTTTTGATATTTTATAGCTATACTTATTAGCTGATTTTTTTTTATTTAAACCGTATTGCAGTTTTAATACAATCTGAAAGCAGAGAGTTTCTAAGTTTTTATAATCTGATATATATATATACATATTTCTATATAAGACAATATTTCTGTAAAAAATTGCTCTAAGGCATCTAATCTAAGAAATCTGAAAAATTACAATCAACGTTATGCTAAAAATTTATATTTCAAATTAATATTTTCTTTACTTAATTGCTTTTTCTGCACAACTAAAATTCAAGTAATCAAAGCTTTATAAATTTACAGTAATGTAAAAATTATATATAATCTATTCCTTTTCAAGTTTGGAAACATAAATTATATAAATAAACTATATTAAGACTTAAGAGCCAATATTTTGCCATATTTAAATTTTAAAACTTTGCATTATTAACAAAACAGATTGACATTTCCATTTTTGACACACCAATTGATTTAATTTGTTACGACGTTGCGACGTTGTACAAGCATTTTTTACGTGATTAGAAAATTAAAAAATTTTTTATCATGAAATAAAATTGTATGTATTATGTAATTTATATATTGTTAAATATTTACTCGGGCATAGTCTATTTATATACATACATTAGAAATTGACATAAATGTAAGCTAAATATGAACATAAAAATTAATTATGAATTTAATTACGATTTTAATAATTATTATTATAATTAACAGATTCACTTTTATTTGGGTATAATCTGCTACAAATTAATTAGGTAATAATATTAAGAAAATAAAAATTTATTACAATATAATATTTTTATAATATGTACATATGTATGTATTATATTATATTTATTTTGAAGTCTGATTATAATAATTTTGAATTTAACATTGACATTTTATAAAGACTAAGCTAAATATTACATTATAATAAAAATTAATTTTTTGTAGAAAACGATAAATCTCTACTTTTAAATATTTTCAGTACACAACGGTAACATTTTTCTGTTTTAAACAAAATTAATACATACACAATTCACCGTTCATCCATTCACATTACATATGTATAAGCATATACAAATTTGAGTTCGAGAGGATTTAATAAGGCAAACAATATTTTGGCTAAGCAATTTGTTTTCAGAGAATCAAGTTAGATGCTGACTAAATCATTTAATTTTTAATAAATAAATTAAATATTATAATTACATTGTTTATTAAAAAAAATAAATGAGGATAAAAATTAACAAAATTATATTAAAAGCAAAATAATCAAAAATCTAGGTAACTTTTCCTAATTTACAAGTAATAAATAATTTTTTTAAATAAAATTTTTTTCTTAATTTCCAGAGCTAACATGGACGCTGCCTTAAAAGATAACAATGGCAACATGATATTACCGAAAACATTAAAAATTTCAGATAATCAAGGTATATTTATTATTTGAAGTGTTTATTTGCTTATAATGAAATCTAATAGAATCACTTACTTTATAATTACTTATTAACTTAAAATTTATTCAAAATATTTTTATTTTTTTTTTAGATAATCCGAAAGCAACGAATCCAAAAAGGCAATCCTATGAAAAAATGATAATTGAAGCTATTTCAACTTTAAAGGAAAGAAATGGCACCTCAATTCCAGCAATAAAAAAATATATTTCTTCAGTTTTCTTGATTCCAGAAGAAATCTCAAGAAGATATGTTGCAAAATTTTTGAAGAAAAGTACAGAAAAAGGAATTCTATTAAAGGTCGACAAGAAGTATCGATATAAATTAAGCGCAAACACAATTAAAGAAGCACAAAAAAAAATAACCAAACCAAAAAAAATTAAAAAAATATCTAAAAATGAAAATGAGAAAGAAAATATTGAACCAGTTGCAGGGAAATCATCAACTTTAAGTAATACGGAAAAAACTAAAATACAAAAACCAAAATCAGTTAAAAAAAAGAATAGTAAAATCGAGGGAGAACCTAAAAAGCCAAAACCTAAGAAAACAAAAGAAGGACAAAGTTCTAGCCCAAAAGAAACAAAAATCAAAAAAACAAAAGTTTCTACAGAAGCTAAAATCAAAAAAATGGAAATTCCTAAAGAAGTTAAAACTAAAAAAACAAAATCTACTGAAGAAAATAAAGATGATCCTTTAAAAAAGAAAGCTAAAATTGAAATGAATAAAGTCAATAATGATTTACAAATTAAGGTGACTCAAAAGAAAACTAAAATTGATTCTAATGTTAAAGTAAAATTATCTAAAACTAATAATGCTACAATTGCAGCTGGAAATAAATTAAAGAAACAAGCTAGAAAATCTCTTATTAAACTTAATATGAAAAAACAGAAACAGAAAAAGGGCAATACTCAACATCAAGAACAACAAAAGGAAAACCAAGATCACAATTAATAAGCTTCTTTATTATAATTAATGAATCGAATAATCATTTTCATTTTTTATTTAATTTTTTAATTAATTTCTCAAAATTTTTTTAAATTATAATATTATGTAGGCTTGGAAAATGAATAATTTAAATTTAAAAATATCAAAGTTTTGTTTATTATATACATGTATAAAATAATTTTATTTTTAATTTAAGTGAATAAAATTAAGAAAAAATTACTATGTATGATTTATATTTATGTAAAAAAATTCTAAATAAAATATGTGAAATTATTCCATTAGTTTCGAAAATAGAACGAAACATAAGAATTCGAACTTTTAAAAATGTTTATTTTTTAGTGATCTACAATTAATTTTGTACATAATTGCTACAAATTTTGTTAAAAGCAATAAAATAATTTTCTTATTAGAATAATTTGCAAAGTATATACGTATACATATAAATAAATTTTATCCCTAATAAATATAAGAACCCAATATTTATTAGGGATAAAATTTCAAAAACCTTATTTATTCTTATTTTTGTTTGTATTAATTGAAATATTCGCAAATAGTATATTTCTTATTTACTTGGAATAAATAATATGAAAAATATTTAAATAAAATCAATAAAATCTTTAAATATTACAATTTATAATTTCAATTTGTATAATTAATATTTTTCTACATATTTTATTCCCGAGAAATTTTTTTTTAAGCTTTATAATATAAAATTGTAAAAATCGGTAATGATTTTGAATCGAGAACTCATATTCAAAAAAATAGGCTAATGTTATAAACAATATGAAATTTAAATAATATAATTAATATAAATAATAAAATAAAATTTTTAATTAATATTTTAGCAGAAGAATGCAGTTCAAAAAAAAATTTGACTAACAGAAATAAGAATCAAATTTAAATTTCATTACAAAATTAATTCCGAAATTATTTTATTTTACAAATTATGTAATTGAAAAATGTATTCAAACAATTTTATTTTTTTTTAAATTCCATTACATTCAATATATTTTTATAAATACACGGTTTTGTTTTTTGTAGGACAACAAAATTCAAGTCCAAGGAGACATTCATAATTTAGACTTGCCAAGTTCGAAGGTTAGATTTAAAAATAATTTTTTTTATGCATTTATTCATAATTTTCGAACTACATTTATAAATTAAATAGATTAAGAAAATTATTATACATAAATACTTATAATTTCGAAATATTTTGAATTTTGATAATATCCTACTGTTATTAAGAAGTTAATTCTGAAAACCCATTTATGTCAGTAAATAAATTTCTATTTTTGATGCAAATTATTCTTAAAAAACATCTACGTGCTTATAAGAACTATAATTATGAAAATAAAGTAAACAAAACCAATTTTATCTTAAAAAAAATATGAAAATAGGAAAATATTATGTTTTACAATTTTCATATTTGAATTTTGAAGAAAAAAAGCTTCCTAAATTGATAACAAAATTATTTTGCTTTTTTATAATTATATTTTCATTATTGTATTAGTGCAAAATTTATAATATACTTGGTAACACTTTTAAGTTCCCTGCAAAGAAAAAAAAATTTATATGTATGTACATTCATATATGTGTATTACATATTTATGTGTATATAATAATGTTATAGAAAACGAATTCATACATAAAAATCTTGAGATACTCGATTTTTATGCCTCATGTTGAATTTTATTGCATTTACAATTTTAGTTTTAAATCTGTCTTTCTTTAGTACAGACGGACTGACTGTACATTAATTGTTTTTGTAATAAAGCATATGGGGTCCTCGTAAGCCACCATGTTAAAATAACATTTTTTTTATAAAAAAAAAAGTATGTTTTAATTTTAATAAATTTTTCCAAAAAAAAATTTCAAGTTAAATGCAATTTTTTTTTTTTAAATAAAAAAAATAAAATCCAAAATTATAATGAAGAATTTTGTTTTAATTTTTTATTTATACTTTAAAAATATAAATTGATAAAAAAAAGTATCTATGGAATTGTTATGTTTACTTTGTTGTTTATTGTTTTTTTTTTACTATTTATTTCCAAATATTTGGATATTTTCTTTTATAATATTCTTAAAATGCGTTGAAAACCTAAATTTTTTTTTTTGTTATACATTGTGTTTTTTATCTGTTTGTGTGTTTTTTTTTTTAAATCTTACATTATATCTTTTTTGAGGTATATTTGTGTTAGTTTGTTCACAATGCACACATATACATGCGAATTATATATGTAAATACAATATAAATATTTGTATATATTTTATGTTTGTTTGAAACCAGATTAACAACTTTTCCTACATAAAAAATAAAAAAAAAACATAAAAGATAATATAAGAAAACTTTTTGAATATACAACACTTTGGAATACAATGAACGCGATCAGAAATTTATATTGCATTTTTTGCTATAGTACGAGTATTATACATGATTTTAATTTACTCTCTGGAATAAAATGTAAAATGTGTGATATGTACATATGTGGAATATAAATGTAAAAATAAAATACAGAATAATAAATTAATAAGAGAGCAATGCGAATATTTTGTATGATGCGAATGCGACAAAATACTTAAAAACTATGTTTAGTGTGTCTTCATTTATAATTTATAAAAATTAACAATTAAAAGAATTTTATATGTAAAAAAAAAAAATAAAATATTTTTATATTTTTAATTGAATTGTATTTAAAAATAATTATTAATTTAATTTTTATTTTTTTTTTTTCAAAAGATAAAAAAATATTTGTAGGAATGGAAATACAAAATAATGTGAAAATTATATTTAAAGTACGTTTAGGCGAAATATTAATTTCTACAATTTTAAAATATTTACATATTTTAATTAAATTTTGAAAATATTATTTAAAAACTGGTATTTATTCTGATTTAATATAAAGAGAGAAAAATATTGATTTCATAAAATTTGACAAAAATTTATGCTTTTTTTTTCAAATAAAATAAAAGAGTTCATTGATTTATTTTAATATAGTTTTTAAATTATTCCTTATAAAATGGTTTTTTAATTTAATATATAAATCGAATTCTATTTGTTATATAAATTTGTATTTATAAATAGGAAATTTTTTATTAGATATTGAAAATAAACATATTAAATAATAGAATTAATATTTGAAAATAAATAACATTATAATAAATTCAATAATGTATATTTATTCATTATCCAAACACATTTCTCTAATTAAAGAAATCAATGTCCCATTTATTATTATTAAATTAAATATTAAAAAATAAATGCATGTTTATTGTGTTAATTTGTGAACTAAAGCAGAGTTCTAACTAAATCTAAATAACAATTAATTAGGAAAATAATAATAAATAATGCAAACAGATATAACAATTATTATTTATAACATACATATTAAATTTTTTATAAATAAAATAAATATATATAAGTAAAGTAATTAAAAAATAATCAAAACGGCAAATCGTTTTATTAGTCTGGCATTTTATATAAAAACAAAATAAAAAAATTTAACGCCAAATCGTTTAAATCGTTTTAACGTTTTCACAGTATTCCCAGCATAAATTTTTTAATTCATATATGAAATTAATGTATATATGAATGTTACTCTTATACTTTTAAATATGTATTAATATATCTACATATATAAGTATGTGTTATATAAATATAGTACATGTTATACTTATTGACTTTTGTATAAAGGTATAAAAATGGTATTTTTATTTTGTTTTTATTATTTTTTATGGAAAAATAATGTATTTGTGTTAGAGTAATGCTGGCTACCTTTTAAGAAAAACAAAAAACAAAATAAACGTTGAGTACAAAGAGATTTCTTTTTTTTTTTTTTTGATTTTTTTTTTTGTAGAGAAGATGAATATCACTATCAAAGCCTAAATTGGAATTTAAATTTTAGTTTTAATTTTTTTTTCGGAATTGCAGCACTAAATTTACCTTTATCTTTTAATTTAAAAATGATTAAAGAATTTAAGAAAAATTTTATTTAAAAATAAATAAAAAAAAAAAATTTTTTTAATTCAAAATGATTAAATAAAATTTATAAGAACAAATTTAATTAAAAAACGTGTTTAAAATAAAGTAAGTTTTAAGTTCTATTGGGATTTCATCCTTCTACCGTAAAGAAATTGCCTCAAGTGTAAAACAATTTCTCCTTTTTCTTCTGGTTTTTTTTTTTTTTTTGGTGTGCACTTAAATGATGAAATTATCTTTACGGAGAAAATTAAAATGAGTAATTTTTTTTTAACGTGGCATTAAAAAATAAAGAAAGACTTTGATTATTTAGAAGTCAAAGAACAGAATATTTTTTCTGTTCTAGTAAATTATTTTTGTAAATATTAATAAAATATTAATAAATTATTTAAATATTAAGTACGAGTTCATGTTTGTAACATTATTCAAATAATTGATTTCATTAAAAATTTTGAAAAGAATTTTGATTGTAGCATTTTAAATTATTATTCTATTTCTAACAAATTTTTTTTTATCTCGTTTTCAATTAAAAACAACCGAAAAGTGTAAAAAATAATAAAAAAAAAATAATTGCGATAAAAACCACAATTTATAATTAAAATGAAAGTTCTAGTTTTTTAACTTTACAAATGTGATCTTCTAATCTTATAGCAGCGATCCATTTATGTTATATATGTGACTATGTATGTAGCTAGAATACTTAAGTATTTATCTACTACCTACCCACTAATTTATAAACAATTTGTTTCTTTTTTTTTATTATGTAAATTGATTTTGTTTTATAAGAATATTTTTATCAATTATTATTTTGCATTTGAATTTTAAATTAAATATTCCGTCTGGACCCTCCCACGTTTTGAGACAATAATTTTAAACATTAATAGATCATATGAACAAATTGTTCAACATTCTTTTTAATGAATTACATATTTTAAAATTGTTTGATAAATGAGTTTTTTATTTTTTATAATAAAGGCTTAATAAATGTTTCATACATATAATAATTGAATAGTAAAATTAATGTTATTTAATATTCATAAATAAATATTAATTTCAACTCTTCGTTTTTTTTTTATGAATGAATTTAACCTTTTCAATCCTTATTAAGAAATATGATTTTTGTTTTTAATAAATAAAGAATTTTTTTTTAATTAATTAATTTGTTAAATAAATATTTATTTTAATTTTTTTTTTTATTAATATTTATATTTGTAGATTATTAAAAAAATAAGAAAAGAGAATTAAGAAGCTTTTTAATCATCAATAAATTCTGCAAAAAAATAAATAAATAAAAGGAAAGGAAAATAAAAGAAATAGCAATAAAAATAAAAAAATAAATAAATAATCATGGCTGTGTTTGGTATGGTTTCGGCTGTTGCCGGTTTTGTCAAAGTCAGATATCTTGTTGACAAAGCAATTATTGATAATATTGTTTTTCGATGTCACTACAGATTAACCACAGCAATATTATTTGTTTGTTGTATTATTGTAACAGCAAATAATTTAATAGGTAATTATAAAAATTATATGTAATATGCAATTACTTAATTTTTATTTACTCGTATATATTTTATTTGTATTTAATAATATAATTTAAAGAAAATATTGTGGTTAATTAAATATTAAATATAACCACAATAGACAATATTTTGATTTAAATTAAAAGCGAAAAATCAAAAATTATTTAATGCGGATTGGTTATACTTTTATATATGTACATGCATATATAAAATGTAATATACATATATTAATATAAATAATATAAAATCTAAAATTTATTCATTTATAATTTAAAGGGGATCCAATATCATGTATAAATGATGGAGCTGTTCCAATTCATGTAATAAATACATTCTGTTGGATAACATATACATTTACGATTCCTGGCCAACAATATAAAAAAATTGGAACTGAAGTTGCAAGCCATGGTCTGGGAAATGAATTTGATGAAGAAAAACGATATCATAGTTATTATCAATGGGTGCCATTTATGCTTTTTTTCCAGGTATTTAAAAAATAAAATTTAATTCTTATAATAAAGAAATTTATATAAACGAAAAAATATATACATATGTACATATGCATTAATATTTTTAATTGAAAAACAATTTTAATGAATGAAAAACAAAATTTAAAATAATTCATAATTGTAAACTATAATTTGATTTTATATTTGTATTTGATAAGTAATCCTGTGTATTTTTCTCTATTTTAGGGCTTACTTTTTTATTTTCCCCATTGGATTTGGAAAAATTGGGAAGAAGGTAAAATCCGAATGGTTACAGAAGGAATGAGAGGTGTTTTAACTGCTTCAAATGAAGAGCGTAGAATAAAGCAGAATCGTATCGTTGAATATCTAATTGTTAGCTTAAAAACACATAATGGTTATTCTTTTGGATATTTTATATGTGAAATTTTAAATTTTATTAATGTTGTCGGAAATATTTTCTTCGTTGATAAATTTCTTGGTGGAGCATTCATGACTTATGGTACAGAAGTTTTAAAGTTTTCAAATATGAATCAGGAGAATAGATACGATCCTATGATTGAAATTTTTCCAAGGCTCACTAAATGTACATTTCACAAATTCGGCCCAGGAGGTTCACCGCAAAAACATGATACACTTTGTGTTTTAGCCTTGAACATTTTAAACGAGAAGATATATATTTTCATATGGTATTTACTTGTGAATTTTTTCAAATTGAATATTTTTATAAAATCGTAAATCCGCCTTGGTCTTTTTAGGTTCTGGTTCATAATTTTATCAGTGTTATCTGGATTAGCAATTTTATATTCAGCAATAATAATAATGATGCCAACCAGTCGTGAAACTATAATCAAAAGACGTTATCGACATAGCTCCTCAAAAGAAATTGAAAGATTAATACGTCGTTTAGACGTAAGTTAAATACTTTCGATTAGGATTTTTTTTTTAATTCAATTGTTATTTAATTTTTGTTTTAATGTGTTTTAGATTGGAGACTTCTTACTTTTACATCTGATTGGACAGAATGTTAATATGAATTCTTACAGTGAAATGGTTCAAGAATTATGCAATAATTTAGGAACAAGTACAGGTGGTACTCCGTCAGCTCCTTCAACACTTGAAATGCATCCAATCTATCCAGAAATGGATAAGTATGGCAAAGAAACGGAAACTTAGATTACTGTAATATCGAAGGATATAGTTTAAGTTAAATTTTAATTCAGAAACACAATAGTAATAAGTTAAATATAATAAAACATGAACATGTTTAATTTTTTTTTTTTTCAAAAATTATGTTTAAATAAAAACAATAACGATAAAATTAAAATTATATTAATAGGTAAAAAAGACTTAGATTAACGATAATTTTATAATTAGATCAAAATTTTTATTCTAAATCAGAAAGAATTCACATTGTCATTTTATTTTAATTTACTTATATACATATATGTATAATTAAAAATCATTCTTTACTTTTTTAAGTAATTCGTATTTAGTGCCTGATACAAAAACAAAATAAAGTATACCTGTTCTCAAAAACAAAATTATGACCATTTATATGTATGTTTTATTTTTGATTAGATTCTTCATAATAAGTAAGACAAGTTGAGATTCCTTAAGATAAAGAAATCAATAACCAAATTTGGAATAAGTCTTATCCGACAAAATACGAACATTTTGAGATTTACTTCAAATTTATATGATTTGAAAAAAGGTTTACAAGTAACTTTGAATAAGTTATTGATATATTAAAATTGGTAAAATAGACGTAATATTCTTTTACATACATACAGAATAAATTTTCCTCTGCGAATTATTTCTAAAAGTACAATGGCATGATATTCTTTGTGTGGCTTATTTGTCGCAATAATTTAGGCATTGTATAAAATATAAGAAAATTTTACCACTAGACTTTAAAAAATTTGTAAACCGCATTGCAAGAGGAATAACTGAAAATTCGGCATTTGAGAGCCTTTAGGATGAAAGTTTTGTTTTAATATAAATAAGCGATTGCCCTATTTTGGAGCAATTAAAACTCCTTATATCTGCATGTGTATAAATAACGATTATGTGTGTGTATAAATAACGATTTTGCGTTTAAAAATCTTCATATAAATTTTTAACAAATATTATACGCAATAAATTTTTAACAAATTGAACAATAACGTATACATATGTAATGTATATTTTGTATATAATTTTTTAATATATGTACATATATATTATGTTATAATACCTATATACTACGTTAATGTTAATGTTTTCATTTTTCTTCATGACAAGCCCATTTCTACATTTTGTTAATGGGTGATTACCATATTCCCCAATTTTAAAACGCCTTTAGGGATTTGGGGACGTTTGCAAACAATTACACACACACTTTTGTTTTTATTTTACAAATGAATAATTATATAAAGAATAATCTTAACATCCAAAAATGATTTTGTTGAATATGTTATTATTTGAAAATAAAATAAACTCACCTATTACCCCAATCAATTTTATCAACAACCTGCATTTGAAGCTCTAAAGTTTGATCTTGTGTTAATGTGGCACTGAGTAATTCCTTACGACCTTCTAACAGATTATTCATTACTTTTGTTAATGTAGAAAATTTGTAATCTTCACGATCCTTAAAAAATGTATGAACATTTTATTAAATTGTATATTACAATGGATAAAAATTATTTTCTTACTACAAATAGTTTTTTCCACATTTCAGACCATTCTCTTAAAACTTCTGTACATTCTGCAACAACAGGATCTATCTTTGACATGTCCTTAGCACAAACATATGATTTTGGGAATATCCCAACCCCTGTTGGTTTCCTTAAGCATTTTCCACGATACCAAGGCCCACATTCTTCTAAAATCTCAACCAAATCTCCAACGTCAAGTGCTAATCCATATCGAATTTCTGTGTGCCAGTTATGAACAGCTAAAATAATACAATTAGTTTATTAATGCTTTGTAAAAATTTCATTTAAATATCGTCCAGGAACGATATTTAAATTTTAATAATTTTCTGAAAATAAATCTCTAAAAACAAAAAAAACAAATCAGGTATGTCACATACTTAAGTTTTTGTGTCATTACAAAGCTTATACATAGACATTATTAGAATGGCGTGAAAACATTAGTGTCACTAAAGTAAGACTACTTGTTTTTTTTGGCAGACTTTTATTATGTCATATTGCAAAAATCTTTATTAAAATATAAGCGTTCACTTGTTAAAAAATATTTGTGCGCTATGTAAAAGAAAATTTTCAATAATAATACAACATACCTAATGTTATACCGACCGATAATAAAACATTTTCTTCTGTCAAATTACTTCCGATTTTATTTAGTATTACTCATATATTCAAAATAAAAATGAATACATATTGTATAAAAAATTACTATTAACTTATATTAATTTTTTTTTTTGTTGTAATACCATAAATTTAAAATATTTTCAATTGAAATTTTAAATTCCAAACACGTAAACATTACTTCCTTAATGATTTTTTTTAATATTAAAATTTTTGGGTTGCACTTAAGTTTAGCCATCGCCCCATACATAGTCATCACTTACCAACAGCATATTTATTATTTGCAGGAATCCACATCTTTTTTCTAAATTATTATCATTAATATCGGCATCTGATTTATCTTATTTTATTTAGTTTATAAAAAAAAGTTAAGATAACTTATCTAAGAGATTATCTTAGATAAAACAAAGGTATTGTGTTATACACTAACTAAACTTCTATAATTATTTACGAATTTGATATTCTCAATGTGAAAAAAGCGAAAGCAATACAATATAATTGTCAATTACCCCCCCAAATCCCTTTATTATTTTTTTTTTTATTTTTTTCTTATATGTGTGTAAATATTGAATTACTTTATAAATTGTCACAAATGTCAAATTTATATGGAGATACCATGAAACGTTACAAAATTTTTTGTATTTTTTTATAAATTATTACGATATAGTACAATTTTCATGTTACGGTATTACGGCAAATAATATAATGATGATGCAAATAATTAGAAATTAAACAATTTCTTTTATATTTTTTCTATTTTCAATTTTTTATAAGACGTAAGAAGTCCATTAAAATTTTAATAAGATATTGAAATTGAATAAATTATTGAAATTTGTATGGGTAAATCGCGTTTAATGACAGTATTGCCATTAAGTAAAACAAATCCAAAAGAATCTTACTTGGAAAAAATTAAATTTTCGCCAAATCATATGCAATATTTTTCAATGAAAAATGTAAGCTTAAATAATATCAGTTTGAATAGAAAACAGGATATTTTTATTTGATTGGAAAATTATAAAATTATTTAAGGGTTGAATTCAAAATGAATAACGCTAGATAAAATAGCATATACATAAATATGTAATTCACTATTATGTAAAAATTGTAATAAAGGTAAAAAATTTCTTATTGACAAGAGAAGAAAGTCTTACAAAGTCATTGCCCAATATCTTAAATTCTTTAAGATATTAGGTAAAGATTTTTGCCTAACAGATCGTGTTTAGGATCAATGGTAATAAGTTTTTTCTACTATTAGAAACAAAAACAAAAAACCGGTACCTTTTTTTACAATTATTTTAAATCCAAAAACAAAAAAAAACTACACACAATTTTTTTATGTTTATTTTTTTTTATTGCTATCCTGCTAAAATTGCTAACATTTTTTTTATATGTGTGCTTTTTTCTCTTTTTTCTTTGTTGTTGGATAAATTGTAATATATACGATTAATACGCACACACACATACGTACATGTAGGTTTGTTCAAGTTATATTACACAAGCAAAATTTATTAAATTGAAATCAATAGAAATAAAGTGCGCAAGACTGCATTATTTTATTATATTTATATTGTTAGTGACTTTTGCTATAATGTCTAGCAAGTAATCAGTCAATATCTTTGATAAAGCTAAAGAAGTTTTCATCTTAATTTTTTTGGAAAGAGGCAACAAAAAAAAGAATTAAAAAATAATATTTAAAAAAAATTATTAAAAAAAAAATCCATTTTAAAAATTAAAAGAAAAATTTTTATAAAGAGAAGAATAAAAATATCAAAAAAAAAAAATTTATCGTCGGTGAGTTTTGTAAATTAAAAGTTTTTTAAAATTTTATTTTAAATTAAAAAGGAAAAAAACATTAGAGAAAATTTATCCATTCATAAATTTTAGTGATTTTAAGTACATATACATACATACTTGTATAATATAATAAATGTTAGGAGGTGATTTGAAAATTTTTCTTTTGGAAAATCTTTTATTAATATAGTTTCAATTAATAATATATTTAAAAATTTAAAATTATGTAAGTACAATTGTTAAAGAAAATTATTTATAAAAAAATTCAAATAAGCATTAAAAATTCAATAAATTTAGGTAGTTTTTTTTTTTCATTTTTCTTTTTTGCTGTTATAATATTAAGAAAGTTTTCTTCATATATGGGTCATGACTCTTTTTTTTTATGTATATCTTAAATGAGTTAAAGAAAATATAAGTATATTTCTTTATTTCACACCATTAAAAAAGCAAAATTTACTTTGTTTTATGAAAAGAAGAAAAATAACAAAAAAGGAATCCCCAAAAGTCTAATACAAAGCTGTTAAATAATTTTTATTTTATGTTAGTGTGGTTGTACTTTGAATTTTTCACACCAATTTTATAAATAAGAATTTCCACACCAATTTTATTAACATTTTTTTTAAAATTTCACTCATATATTTAATTTTTTACAATTTGCCGTATATATATATGTAAGTATATAAAACAAAATTTTGAGTATTTTTAGATTAAAAATTAATAATTAATGAGTTTTTATCTCTAATAATAAATATACTTGTATATATGTATATACATATATACAAATATGACAATTTTATTTCTTACGTACTAAAAAATTATTTTCTAAATGGATATGTCGTACCTCATTAAAAAGGAATAACATTTTTTAGGTAAATAATAATATTTGTTGGTATCATAATGGTATATAAAGCCATTTAGTCTCTCAAATTTTTCTTTTATTTATTTTGTTGCGTTATTTTTTTTTTTCTTCGAATTTTGTGGTAATAAATAATGAAATTGGTATGATCTCATAAAATTTGTTATGTTAAATATACAATCATTGCTATATAGGTATATACAGACATATAGGTTAATATAAATTTTCAAAGATTATCAAAATCCCTATTTGGGTTTTTAATTAAATATTAATTAGGATTTCATTTATATATAGTGTATTATTATTGTATAATAAACAAAATTGATTTTTATCAGTCTTAATGGGTTCTTATGTATATATGCACTTAAATAATATGGGAATAACAGTAAGTAAATGTATAATTTCTTAATATGTACGTATAATATGAGGAGGATTCTAAGAATATTGTTATTTATTTTATTTTGTAGTATTCAAAATTATTTAATATGAATATTTCCATATTATTTATTATAAACTTTTTAATTTATATAGTATATACATTATAATTTTATTTTAAATTTTATAATTAAATTCATTATTATTTTGAATATTTTAAAGTAAAAAAAAGTTTACAATTTTTTTGTAAATTCTGTACAAAAATATACACATAAATAGAAGCGTAAATTTGTTATGTAATTTGAATTGTAAAAACTTTGAATAATTTAATTTGAAGGATTTTTTATAAAAAAAAAATACTAATAACGCATGAGAATTGAATATTACATGACCTTATTATTTTATTATTTAAAAATAAAATATTTCGGTCTTCTAGACCAAAACTGTATGTACATACTTAAGTATTTTGAAAATTTTTATACAAATCCACTGTTTTCATACAAGAACAGCTTATTCCATATTTTGTTCATCTTATTTAATTGGATGACAATATATTTTTTTTCACCAAATTAAAATTTATGACCTGAAGCGAAATAAAAAATCAAGAATTTTATTTAAGAGATTTATTTTTAATGAAAATTTTTTATTGTAAGATTTTCTAAAATTGATTTTCATATTCTTATATATGTATAATATAGAGAATGACGTATACATATACTCAAAATCTTACTTCTGTGTACTCAAGTGCATTAAGAAACTTAAAGTACTTATTTTAATTATATTTTATATTAAATAAATAATTAAAACGCAAAATAGAAACGCTTTTTAAAGTTTTAATAAAGTTTTTCAACACTTTATTAAAGCATACATGTATACATGTGCTCATTACATAACTATTATATAGTATAATCTAATGCACGCACAGTCGGAAAATAAAATTAAACAACCATAATTATATTATAAATTTTCATATTCAATAAGATAGTATATTGTCTAATAAATGGTATTATTATGGTAGTAATTGTAATAAAATTTCTGTTATATAAAATTAACCAAATTTAATTTTTAATAATTTTAATTTAATTTTGCATTTTTTTATACAAATACATATTATAATTATTCAAACAATAGACTTTATTCATTCATATTCATATTCATTGTGAATATTACATAATAATTGTATTTATATTATTATATTATTTATGTAACGTGTTATAAAAATTATAACTTTAAGTATTCAATCATAAATATAATTAACAACACTACACAATTCAGTATTTACAAGTCATAAGCTTAAAATATGTGTATGCTTTAACACTGTATTATACTACAAAGTAATTACTACTATATACATAATATATTAATACATAAACATTCGACTATGACTAGTTCATATTTTTGTTCATTTAATTCGATTAAATTTTAATGAACCATTTAAATTTTTGCCCTCCACTGTTTATAATCGTTGGAGGAAATGTTTGTACTAAATTTATAATTTATATTTGCTCTTCTTTATAAAAATTAGAATAATTTATTGATATTTATTGTAATTATTGGAGCAGAAAATATTTTATTTTCAATTTATATTGATGTACAATTATAATTTTTATTTTTCTTTTTTTATATACATATATATAATTATCTAAAAGCAAAGCAAAATTTATTTACCATTTCTTGAATTTCTATATATAAATATTTCAATTATTTGCATATCATGGTTTAACATTATAATTTGATTAAATGTCAATAGTAATTACTTAACCCTAGTTCATATAGCAAAATGAAAATTGTATAGTAAAATAAACAAAACTATTGGTAAGATTTTTAAAATATTTTGTATAATCTGATAAAATTAATTAATCCTTTTAACTATACCACATAACACGTTTGTATATAAAAAACCCATATACCATAATATCTTTATTAATTATGTATAACATTTGATGCATATTGTTAGATACTTAATTTACTATGCTATATGTTTTATAACTTTTAGAATGAACAGCGTTTTTCTAATAAATTAATGATCAATAATTCATGGAATGGTTATTTAGCATAGAATATCCTTTTTTATAAAAATATACCGTATTTATTTGTACCTACACATTTATAACTATGTATTTACAAATATATATAACCTTTTCGGAAAATTGTCGTCCATTTGTCTCTGCCTTTCACTTAAACATAAAATATCCTTTCAATTTTTTTTTGTGTTTTAAAAAAAATTTCTTAGAATTAATAATGATTGAAATTATAATAATATATTTATGTATATATAAATTTTTACTTCTTCTTTTTCTATTTTACATTAATTTATTGTTAAACTTCTAATATTTATGTATACCTTATTTTTATTATTTTTGTATATTTATTTTTTGTGGAAGCAATTGAAGAATATCATTACATATTCGCATCATAAATTGTAGTTTAAATAATTTTTGGAAAATTTCCAAAAAAAATTATACAATTACATATATGTATATATACAAAATAAGTTTAATATTATATGACTTTCAACCTAATTATTATAATTAATGCGTAAGCTACAAATGATAGAGGTTATAGTATGATATATGTGGTCTCGCATTATTCATGGTTCAAAATTAGATGTTGTACGTAAAATAACCTACATGATAAAAAAATTTGTATACTATTTATTAATTATTACATACATTTATGTAATTTCCATAATTATTACATACATGTGTGTGTATACAAAAATTTACTTATGTAATTTTCAAAAATAATATATTTTTGAAAATTATATATGTAAATTTTTAATGTGTAAAACTAGTTGGCTTACTGTCTAATATACTTTAATCTAGTATTAAAGTATCCCAAAACAAAATTTAAATATTAATCTGGAAAGAAAAAATATACTAAAAACATGAACAACGTGCTCTTTCCAAAATTATATAACACAATTTTTTAATGTATAGGATTTTAGTTTCTACACCCAGTTATTTAGTTAATAGCATAAACAATAATTATTTTAAAAAACGATCCGCAGTTGCTTATTTTTATTTGAAATTTACATTTTGCCAATGGTTTTTCGTATGTAGTTTAATTGAATCTTTGATAAATTTCCTTCATGTTGTCATGTCCACTTAATACATTTAGGTACACATACATTCGAGAATGATTTATTTTATTTGCAGTTAACTTGAATGTTAAAATGTTTATTAGTTTTTCTTAAATGTAATTAATGGTTCTTGTTCCTGTTACAAATATTGCTGTAACGTAAAGTTTAAATTAATATAACTATTCTCTTTCAGATTAAATTTTTTAGCAATTACAACGAAAAGGTATATTAAAAAATATTTTGACGGAATTGATCTGAAACATCAATAAAAAATATTAAAAATTAAAATAATGTAATGAATATAAGTAATATAGAATAAAATACTACTCACATATATTAAATTTTTTTGAAAAGTACGATTCCACCGAATTTCGACATGCATAAAATTCAAATTTAAGAATTTAATTCATTAATTAAATAAAATCTTTCAAAATTTTCCTTCCTTAACCTTAGATTATCTTATAATCCAATTACGTTTACTTTTATTACGTTATTGCGTTATTTTGTTTATTGAATTTCTATATACATATATAATATATACACATTCTTGCTTGTATATATTTCTCATATAATACGAATAATACCTTAATTATTTCACCTTTGCATTGACAAATTTTAAAATATTTAATTGTCAATGAAAATGCATAATAACAATAAAACAATTACCACGGATAATTATCGAATTCGATAAGAACATAAGAATGTTACCAGTTATCAGGTATTTTTATTTTATTACATTTACATAAACTAATTCGAAAAGAGTATTAAAAAGTTGTCCACCCTAGCGGATAAAATCGAAAGGGACAATTTTATTTTTCTTTTTTAAATTAGAAACTGTTTTACAAATTTAATGTATTTGAATTCCTTAATTTAATTTTAAAATTAAGTATATTCTCCATAACTACATTTTCCTATTGCAAAGTACATACCATAATTATTAATTAAATTTTAATTTATGTTTTCGAGTAAAAATTTTGTACTGAATTTGAAAAACAAGTACAATCTTACAATTACAAAAATGTACTAAGGTACAGAATGGCAATGTCATTCATGTATTTCTGTCTAATATGTAATTTTAAATTAGACAAGGCGACCTTGTTTTAAGTATACACACATACTTATGTACTGTTTACATATAAAAGCGGTGAAACAAATCTCTCTCAGAAATAATTCAAAATAAATTTTATTTAAGATAAAAATTTAAATAATTATCATAAAAATTATACTTTTGCTTATATTATAATGAGATTTGCACATCTTCGCATTTAGTAAAGGAAATTTGTTCAATGAATGTTCAATGAGGTTGAAAATTTTTGCTTTTGATTTGACAAGATTAACAATTTTTATACTTTAAGGATATTTTTTTAAGAGTTTTCAACTAATAAATAAATTGATATTCTGTTCCTTTTTTAGCATCATATTTTTTTTATTTCCAGCACCAAAAACATTACTGAAGGTTATAAAAAGGCTCAACAGGAATTGTAAAGTGGAATAGCTAAAAAGGTTTAAAACAAAATTTAGAAAACAAAAAAATAACAAAATCGCTTAATTCAGCAGCAAAATACTGTTGAATTTTAATTTGATTTTTTCAATATTAGTGCTATAACCACAGCTGGGTGTGGGCGAATTTGCGCCCCTGCTCAGGTAATAAATATCTTATAAGAAACAATAATAAAAAAAAAATATACATTGAAATAATATCCATCACGTGGATCGTATGAACATTTATAAATCACTAATAATATAGGATTCATTGTAATTTGATATTAAAAGCGAAAAACTTTCCATTTTTTTTCATCTCATTTCATAATTCATTGTCATTTGAATATATTAAAAGGAAACCAAAACGAGCAACCTGAATTTCTCATCATTCCGAACAAGCTTTACCTCTAATGTTAATTTCCTGAAACGAAGGTCAGTGTGAGTATACATTTTAGTACTAAAATTTTTTAACTAGTAATAGAAACTAGTTTAGAATTTAGCACTAAAATTATGTATAGAAAATTAGAATTAGATTAGATTTTTTATTATATTATATAGTTGGTTAATAGAGTGTTTGGTTTTTTGTTTCATAATTAAATCGTTTCGGATTAAATTATTAAAAATTTTGATTAGGTTCAGTTCGGGAGATTTATCTTCTGAATGTGATGATGTTGATCCTAATGAACTTCCACCGGCCGCAAGGCCATTGCAAACGCAACCGGTTCCAACAGGTGGACCACCAAATATGCCTCCACCACCAGCACCTTCATCGATTACAAATGTGCCTCCACAGCCTACAACTGCAGCACCCGAATTATCTCTTACATTTGGAAAAGGTCCAATAAGGGGTACAAGTGCACCATCTAGCCCGGCTAAATCACGTGAAAGTTTATTGCAACGTGTTCAAAGTCTTACTGGTGCTGCAAGAGATCAAGGAGCATCTATTATTGGTATAAATTTTATTAATTGTAATTAAAATCTAAAATAATTTGATTTTATTAATTTATGTAGGCGCTGCTGTTCAAAGTGCAACTAGACCATCCATAAACAAGGATAAATACTTTACGTTACTTGTTTTAGACGATCAAAATACTGATTGGTCAAAATATTTCAGAGGAAAACGCTTGCATAGCGACTATGATATTAGAGTTGAACAGGCTGAATTTAAGGTAAAATAAATTTTATCTGTAAAATAAATAACATTCGGGCTCATAGTATCATGAAATTTAATTACAGGAAATATCGATTACATCTAGCGGTGAAAGTGGTCCGCAAGTTTCGATTGCTGTCACACGTGGAGGAACTAAAGTAAGTTTTGTTTAGCACTAAAAAAATTATTTCAAATATTTTTTACATAACTATTATATCATTTATACAGGTATCAAGATCGTTTCGTCCTGATTTTGTTTTAATCAGACAACCACCACGTAATGGAGCTAATGATTTTAGAGCATGTTTATTAGCACTAAAATTCGGGGGTGTAGCTAGTATTAATTCTTTACATTCCGTATACCAGTTTCAGGTAAATTTTGGTGTGAGCTTTTTTAGAAAAAAATTATTAGAAATTGTCGATTTATTTTTGAGTTTATAACTTTAATTACTTGTAGCCGCTAAAATATTATCATTTAACAAAAATTGTTTGCTTATAGTATTTGTTAATTTATCATAAAATTTGAAATTGCATAAGTAAATATTATTTACACCAAAAAATTCTTATCAACAGCAATACGAATTCTAACTTTTTTAGTCTATCATTTCATCAGTTATCAATTATCATAATTATATCAAAATTATTAATTATCTCTAGTTCAAAATTTATTTTTTTATGTTGCAAAACACAATATTAGACATAAAGTAATTTACGTAAGTTAAAACTGCTAGTTTATAAACTAAGAGTTTAATGGACTGCATTTAGAATTGAATTTATTCAAATTGTAAAAATTTCGTGGGTGTACACAAGGACAGTTTGTTTTGTTACTATTTATTTTGTTTTAAAATACTATATATTGGATTTTTTTTGTTAATAAACGTATAACGTAATGTAAGGTCTAAAATTTTACTCTTTATAAAATTTTAAACTTTTGCGGGAGGTAAAATAAATTTTTTGGTAAATCTAGCATCAAGTACCTTTAGAACAAACTTTTGTACAGAGATTATCAGGTTTACATGAGAAATTTTTTATTTATTAACATATCTAAAATAAAAAACTTGAATTGGATTAAAAAAACATGACACAATTAAAAAAATAGTAATAAACAGATACAATACAATAATGTTAATAAAAATTTTTAGGTTCGTATACTTTACATAAATGGATTGCGTTCAAAATTCTGAAAAAAAAATCGGTGAAGATGTCATTATAATGGCTGATATAAATATAAGCAAGTTATTATCAAAAAAAGTAAATTTTAATTCGAAATTTAATTTTTTTTTTAAATATAATAAAGATGTTATGTACATAATAATATTGAATTAATATGTATGTATGCATATATAATTATATCAATACTAAGATACAAACATAATAATGTTTTTCTAAGAGAACAACTGAAATTTCAGAAAAATTTATTATTCTTATTTCAAGTTATCCACTCAAATAATCCGCACACTTGTTGCACATTTCGCATCAATACATGCAAGAAATTTCCGATATCAAAAAATTCATTAATTTTTTATTTATATTCATTTTTCATTAATTCTTACTAGTTCTTATTAAATACCAAAATGTGAAAGCATTGTGCGGACTTCAGCAATTTCATAGTTAAATAACAAATGTTATTAAATTTGACGTTGACAATTGTGAGGAATCATAGGCATACATACCTGAAATTTATGCAAATGATTCTAGAAAACTAAACAGAAGATTGTCCGTTATATAATATTTGCCTAAGTGAGTGATATATATATATACATACATAATAATATTTTTTTTTGTACATAAAACCATGATAAATTTCAAGAAAAAACTTATTTTATATAATATTTTCATATTTATCTAATATTATTTTATAAATAATAAATATAATATATTTTATATTTCTCACTTATTCAGAATTTTGTGCACAAAACAAAAAAAAATGTACATGCATGTAAAATTTTTAAAATTTTTTCTCGTACAATATATACAAAATAATTATGTTTTATACTATCTAAGTGACTATATTATGAATATAATCCTTGAGTTCCAAAATGCAGTAATACGGTTTTAATATATAATTCAGCTTATAAGTGTGATTTGTTGAATTATTTATTAACACCGTATTAATGTATATTGGATGTCAAGGAATTCTTATACATATGCTATAAAATCAGTGTCCTTTCTTAAATGACCCTATACAAATATATAATTGATTATTTTTGTGTTTTTTGAAAATAAAGATATTATGAAGAATTTTTTTTTGATTAAGCATGATGATCTGCTCTTCTTTTAAAAGTGTCTTTTTTGTTGTATTTAAAAAAACAAACAAATTAAATACGAATTATGAAATAATGACCATGCAGTATTATTGATATTAGAACAAGCTGTCAAATTCTAATGTCAATCTGATCGATTCAATTGCAAATTGCGATATACTGTGTGAACACAAATCGTGATATACTGCGTTTATGAAAAGGCCCATACATATCTCAATATGCACTATGTAATATGTTTTGACATAGATTTAGGGTATCTGGAAACCATCTATAACCTAATCTGCAAATGATTTAATTAATTGATTAATATTATTCTAATCAATATTTGATTAATTAATATTAAAATAAATTAAATGAACTTATCAGCGTACTAAATATTCGATTTATTGATGCTTCATGAAAAGAAATGCTCATTTCATCTCAATTTAAACAATTTTCTTTTCTTTAATTCAATTTGTTTATATTATGTATGTACATATTTTAAATTATTATATAACTTTTCTTCCTTTATAACTTTCCAATAATTACATAAATATTAACGATTTTTACATAAATTATGTTAATTTTTTTCCAAATGACTTGTTAAAATTGGTGTCCTGAATGGAAAGGTCATTAATTTTAATTTTTGTTTGTACATTTCCAAGCTTCTAAAGAATTTTTTCTCGATTTTTCCTTATGATAATTATGAAATTGTATAATTTATTATTAAAAGCACGTTTCGTGAAACTTATATTTTGATCCAAATGTGTTTGTAAATAACTCGGATTTCAAGTTAAAAGGAAATTCTCTTTTTCAATTACAGGATAAGCCATGGGTATTTGCCCATTTATTACAACTTCAAAGACGTTTAGGTAAAGATGCTTTTCCATTAATACCAAAAACATTTTTCCCGAACACAAAAGACCTTGTGAGTAATGTAAAATTAATGCTCGTAATAGCTACTATGATTACATTTGAGAAATCTACAAAATTCAATAATCTCATTTTAGTATTCATGGTCGAAATTTCCTTGTGTATTAAAAGCTGGTCATTGCCATGGTGGTTTAGCTACTGCCCGTTTAGAAAGTCAGGGATCTCTTCAAGATGCAACTGGTTTAATAACTGGAACTGTTTCTGGAGATTCTTTATGTTATTGCACACTGGAACCATATGTTGATGCAAAATATGATATTCATATTCAGAAAATTGGAAATAACTACAAGGCATTTATGTAAGAAGTTTTCTAATATGTATTTCACTTAAGTGGATTAAAATAAAATATTTAAATAACTTTGTTAGGCGAAAGTCTATTTCTGGAAATTGGAAAACAAATCAAGGTTCAGCTATGTTGGAACAACTTCAAATGACTGAAAAATATAAAATGTGGATAGACGAGGTAAAACTGGCAATTAATTAACTATTGAATTAAATAATAATGTTTTTTTTTTTAAATAAATAAACAGGTTTCTGAATTATTTGGTGGAATGGAAATTTGCGAAATTTCTGTAATTGTTAGTAAAACTGGCAAAGAGTACATTTTAGGCGCCTCAGATAGTACTTTCTGTCTTATGGGCGATACTCAAGAAGAAGATCGTCGTCAAATTGCTGATTTAGTTGTATCTAGAATGCAGGTATTTAAAAAAATTCAGCCGTGTTTTTATAGTATAGAAATATAGTATATAAAAAATAATATATAAAAATATAAAAAATAAATTTATTTTTAGAATGTATGTCGACCCTCAACAAAGGTTCCTGGTAAATCTTTAACATCATCACAAAGTTCAAGTCCAACAGAAGAAACAGCTTCATCCGTTTCATCAACTGTTTCAAGACCGCTTCCAACTGGAGCACCACCACCAATTCCAGAAAGAACTTCACCAGCAGTAGGTTCTATTGGTCGATTAAGTAGTCGAAGTAGTGTATCAGAGCCGGCTATTGAAGAATCAGAAAAAAATACACCAATAAATACAACCGCAGCAAACAGACGAGATTCACAGTCTTCTCAAGCATCTGTAATGTCATCAGGCTCTAAAACATCTATTCGTCCTCAAACTCAGTCATCTGTTGTTGAAGACGCTGAGGATACAATGAAAAATTTAAGAAAAACATTTGCAGGGATATTCGGTGATATGTAGGAATTAGCAAACAAAAAGCGAGGGAAAACCACTTCAGATATTGTCAGTTTGGAGAAAAATGATATTACTACAACTGCTACATCTACTAATATAACTACGTCTGTAATTTCAACTTCAAAAAATGTAGAAAAAGCGTTACCAGCGACAGGTATAACATCTTCTGTGCTTACTAAAACTCCTTTATCAACTAATGAAACTGTAAGCTCAAATACATCTTATAAGAGTACTACGTCGGATATCGGAAGTTCTCTCGCTTTTAAAAATATAGCAGCTACAACAACAATAACTACAACAAGTACATCGGATTTGGGATATGCTTCACCAATAGTCAGTTTCGATTCAACCAGAAGAATTAATCCATTTGATAAGAATTTACAAAATAGTAATAACACCAATACTAGTAGTACTAGTAGCCTTCCAACATCAGAAGATCTTAAAATTACATCTAAAGCAAGCAATACATTTACAGATACTAAAAAATATACTACAAGCAATGTTAATACATCATTTTCATCAATTGACAGATCTAATTCCGTCGATTACAAGTATAGCTCTGATTATAAATTCAAAGATTACGGTACTGAAAATTCTTATTTACCATCAATAAATAAAACTTTTGAGAAACCCGAAAAAGGTATATTAAGTATAACAAAAAATATTTATGTAATTTAAATTCAAAAATTTTTCTCTTCTTAAATCTCTCTTATTAATTTTCACGATTTTTTTAGGCAAATTTGAGCGCAAACTATCCGATGCAGATATTATATTTGGAGTTTCAGAGAAACGTGATGACATCGATATTATTTTTCAAAAATAATTCATTTATATTTAAAAATAATTTAATTAATAATTAATATTTATATTCAAATATTTTCGTTACATAAAACAAATATCATATAATATACTGCAGCAGTACAAAAACCAAAGAATAAAATTAAAAAAGTTAAACAAGCACATATTATGTATATTTGGTAGTAGTACTACATATCTTTGTAAAAAAGATACCTCCGCTTAGAGCTACCAAAACCATTATATTACCTTAAACTTTAAAAATTATAAATCTAAAAATATTATAAAATATGGGGACAACAAAACATATTATTCGAGAAAAGTTAAAAATCATAAAAAATTCAACAGTCAAAAAAAAAACAAATAAGTAATTAATTTTTCTTTTTAAAGAAAAGGCCTTCCATTTTTTATTATTTACTCATATATATGAAAACGCAAATTTGAACAATATTTGTATATTATGTGTAGATATAATCTATGTAAAATAGTTATGTAGATTTATATGTATATATTATATTTGGGCTTTAAGAAAAATTAATTTACATCAAAATGAAGAATACATAAATTTAATACGAAAAGTCTGCTCAGCAATTTCAATGAAATTATAAAAAATTCAAATTTCTTTTAAACAATTTTAGCATAAATATAAATTGCATACACAATAATTACGATAACAGTCGCATTACGTATAAATATATCAAATAAGTTATTATATAAAAATTAATACAAATAAAGCATGCATTATTTAGAAAAGAAAAAAAAATTAAATAATTTGATAAAATGAACAATATTAAGCAATTAATATATTTAGGAAATGGCACAGAAATCGAATAACTTGTATCTGATTCTATTTGTTTATTTTATTTTCAAATTATCAAAGAAAAATATATACCGCGAAAATTAAGCAATAGCACAAAATAAAATAAAAATTGTCTATTTATTACAAAATGCTATCTTTATTAAAACTTTAAATAACGTGCCATATGAAAAAAAATATAAAGAAATTGTAAGAAAAAATAAAAAAAAAATTGCATGAATAAATTATTTTTATTAATTAAAATTTACTATAATTGTTATTATGATAACAATTATCAACTACAATCTCACAAAAATAGTAATGTTAATGCAAATATTCCTTATAACTAAATTATTATAATAATCAAACGACAAACAATCTCTATTAAAATTACACTATTATTAATTTAATTAAATTATACAATATTAATTTAGCAGAAATTAATTTGTAAAAACGAGTTTTCAATTTAAATTAATTTTTTTATTTATTTTTATTTAAATTTTTTAGAAATATGTTTTAAGTACCACGAATATAATATAAAAATAATCACAAAATAATTGTATTTATTATTTTAAATTAGTTTTTTTTTTTAATTTTATACTTTTAATATTAAAATAAGAATGAGAAATCAATTATGTAAATTATAAAAACAGTATTTATAGTTTTATACAAATGTTATGTACTTAAAATTTTATATTATGTACATAAAATTTAATACACAGTTTTAAATCATATTTTATATGAGATATATTTAGTACTGATCTTTTTATATAAGGCCCCAAATTTGTTTTAGCCTCTAATATAATATGTTTTTTCTTCTAACATTCATGAATTAAATAGTTAATTGAAAATTAATTAATTAACAATTAATATGCATATTTAAATTTGTTTCTCATATTTTCAATTTACGATTTTAGTCTTAAATATTTAAGCGCTCTAATTTTTAATACTATAAATTTTATCATGTAATCTGATTTTTGAAATTTCATTTAAGTTTTTTTTTTATGATTAATTGAGAATTAGCATGCATACAATTGTATATTTACAATTTGAGAACTTCAACATTTAAAATACATTTCAATAAAATTTATCTTGGATTATTTTAAAATTAATTTTAGCAAAATAAAATTAGAAGGCATATTGAAAATATTTCATTTAATTATATAAGTATAAAATTTAAGTGGTTTTAATTACAAAATGATAACAATACATAAATATTATATAAGTTATTCAATTAATTACACATACAAAATAATTTTTAATTTAAGTTTTAATTTTTGACAATTGTTTTTCAACAATTTATTAAATTACATTAAATACAATTATTTTGTGATTCGTTATGTAAAAAACAAGTACCGTTTAGGTTGTTATAAAAGGGTGTTCCACATACATATATACATGCACATTAAAACTGATAATGTGTCTTTTATTTATAAATTTTAATACTAATTTTATTTTTATTTTTAAATTATAATAATAAAAGTTACTAAATATCAGAATATTATATTTATTTTATAAATTATAATATTAAATAAATTATAATTTAGAATTAATTTTAATGTTTATATTATGATTAATAATATTATATTTTAATTATTAATGCTGTTCAATTACATATCGTTCCAAAAACAAAAAAAAAAAAAAAACAAAAAGTTGTTATAAATGTTAAAACGTTTAAATGTTATATTTTATTTAAGAAATTATAAAAAAAGAAAGAAAATAAATTTATGTTTTGGATATTTTAAGTAATATGGAAAGCAAATAATCATATTTAAATGAAAAACCACCGACAGAAAAAAATACTGAGAAAAAAATACTAATCGTTAAAATAAAAGTATGTAAATCAATATTGTTTTTGTTCTTGTATCATTTGTCATTCTTATTGAATTGAAAAACTTGTCCAATAATAAATTTTTGTATTCATTGAATATAAAACAAAAGAGAAAAAGTTTTATTACATAAAATTTTTCGCTTAAAATACAAATTCTGAATTTATTCATTTTGGATTTTAAATTTAATAATTAATTTTCGATATTTAAATAAATAAATTTGTAAATTATTTATTTTATTATTTAAAATTTCCAAAAATTACAATTTCAAATTACAAAAAAATATGATAAAATTTCAATATTTTTGAACTAAAGTATTTTTTATGCATAATACTCGCGTATATGCATTAAGATGGTGAATGTTAACCACCTTCAATTAATTAAATAAGAAAATTAAATACATATACACCAAATTTCGAACAAAAAAAAAATGAAATCAATAAGTAAATTATAGGAAAGCTGAACGAATACCTAACGAAATTTTTTAAAAATTAAAATATTTTTTTTTTCGTGTTTTGATTTTATTTAATTTCAAATTAAATGAAAAAATAATACTTAAAATATAAGAAGACAATAATTCGTACATTGATATATAAAATACTTAATAATATTTTTTGATTTAAAAATAAAATACTTTGAAATTCCTTTAAAACAAAAAAATTATAAAAAACTTATTCAAATATATTTCAAAAAAAAAAAAAAAGAAAGAAAAAAAAAGAAAAAAATACTTTATTATACATACAAAATAAATTAAAAAAATGATATTATGTAAATTTTAAAATTTATAAAAAAATTATTGGAAGGCAAAGCATATTATAAAAAATATAAGAAAAGTATTATTATATAATTGAATCAATTATTTACCATGCTATTATATATTAATTATTATGTATATATATATATATATATATACATTAGCTAAATATGAGCACAAATTATATTAAATTATAATTTTATTATAAATTAATTATTATAATTATTAATTATATATTATAATTATTGCAATTATCGTAAATATAACACTTAAGAAAAACAAACAAAAAAAAATTACATATTGAAAAAGCAAAAAAAAATAAATAAATAAATAAATAAACATTTAGACACAAAAATATTAAAAAAGAATTTTCAAAAATTTAGTTGAATTTTCAAAATTAACCCGTTTCTTCCCAATATAGCAATATTGGCATATACTTTTCAATTAAATCGAAAAATTACTTTTATATTGCTTTTTTAAGCAATATTGAATTTTAGAAGCAAATCTAAAATCTGTTCCAATATTTGTATACTGGGAAAAAATGAGTTAAATTAATAAACATGAATGAAGAAATTTATCAACGGTATAAAGTTGAAAAATTATGTTGATATAATTTATTATTATATATATATATATATATATATATATATATAATATTAATAATTATTTTAGCTCCTATTTGAATTATTATTCGGATTTAAAAATATGCATTATAAAGAAAAAAATGTCAAAAAATTAATAAAAAATGCTAGCTTTTTACTCCAATTGAAAAATAAAAGATAAAAACAAAAAACATTACAATAAAGAGAAATCGAAAACAAAATTATGTACTATAAATATTTACATATACATACATAATTATAAATTTATATATATATGGATTTATGAAACTGATTTAAGACAACATTTAAATATATAAAAGTATACATACTAATAAATAAACATCAATATAAAAATATTATTTAAATTTTTAATCAGGCATATACATACACACATATATATATATATTTAAATACACACAATATACATAGAATATTTTATTGATATTAATATAAAATATTTACATAAATACATTTAAAAATTCAAAATTTGTATAAAGTTTATGTAAATTAAATTAATTAAAATTGCGTTACAATTATGCAACACAAAAATATTCATTTATTGTTGCATTTTTTTAATTTGAAATTTAGTTAGCATAATAAGTTACGCACATTTTCGTTACAATGATGATGAATTCTGTTGAAAATTTGTAGCAACATTTATATTTTAGAAAGTGTTTCGAAAATTAAAATACTATTTGAATAGTTCTTAGAAAATTCTTATATCAATTTGAGCTTATAATATACATGAGTTATTTTAATAAAGTACATAATATATAGCACATATTCGTACTGTTTTTTTTTAAAGTGATATTTTCATTTCCGTAGATAGTGTTCAATAAATAAAGATTTTAAATACAAGTAAGACACATTTTATTAAAACACAATTGTCAAATGCTGATACTGACACCCTATTTTCGGAAACCCATATTCAATGAATTAGAATAATGTTTGTTATTATTTTACACATTCATTTTAATTAAATTTTAGTTTATTTAGTTTAAATTATGTATAGATTTTAAAATAAAGCATTATAGAAGATGTTATAAATATGATAAAAGAGATACGACTCAGCTAAGCTCGATTCGAACATACACCCCAGAAAATGAAGAGCATATACCCTAAGTAGACTACAAATTCGAAATGGTTTTGTTAAAGTTTCCTTTTCAAAATTTTAATTAATTTAATAAATTAATATATTAATATTATATTATATACTCATATAAAATTATAAAATAATTGTATATCTTAGAGATATTGTATGAGAAATATGTAAAAGCAATTTTATATATTTTTAGAAATTTCCCTAACTTTTTTATACTCATTAATTACATATTTTGTATATTAATATATACGCCCAAATATTTGTAACTTAAAGAATGTAGCAATAGGCTTAAACTAAAAGCCGTGTTTTATTCATTTTCATTTTTCTTATGTAAGATAGATATTTGTATAAATTTTTTTAGACTAACTTCAAAATTATATTCATTTTAACTTATCTAAAATATCAATGAATTTATTTAAATATTTTTCTGTGTACTTATTAATTCAAAATTAAATTCATATTTCCAAGAAAAATGTATACTAAAAACAATTATATGCAATAATATTTAATATTATATATTTACAATTTTCATCATATTATTCTTGAATAGTAAAATTTATCACTCTTAACATTATAATGTAATAATTTTTATCCATATATATATTAGAATCATATATTTATATAACACATTAAAAAAAAAATAAAAATTTTCATAATTAAATATTTATATATATAAACAAATATAACCTATACTTATATCATGTAAGTATACATATAAGCATACATGAGTAAACACTACATATAAATAAAACGCTGTATTTAAAATATTATCGCAAAAATTAAAAAATTTAATCAAATTTTCTCTTGGCTTTTTTTTATGTTCAAAATTATAAATGTGTTATACATAATATAACTACTGTAATAAAAATAAAATTAAATTAAAAATATATTAAGTAAATGATTTGGTTTAAAAAATAAAGAAAAAAACAAAATTTAATATTATTTAAAACAAAAACAAAGTTTTGTTGTACAATTTGTACCCGGACACAAAATAACTAAAAAAATATTAATTATTAATTATTCAAAAAATAGAAATATAAATCCAACTAAACTAAATATTATATACATACATACATATATGCAATATATATATAAATGTATATATAAATTTCAATTGATTAAAATTAATTAAACTGAAATGTATTCACACGAACAAATTATACATATATATACATACATACATACATACAAACTATAATTATAAAATAAATAGAGATTGAAAGCTCACTATATAGATCATTTTTTCTTTTGCTCCTTTCTTGTATGTGTCACTAAAAAATTACTTATATACCAAAACACTCTCTAACTGTTCCAAAATTTTTAATGTCATTTAGTCAACACAGTAATATTGTATGTACTTATATGTTGAAGTTGTTATTAATAAGATCGAATATACCATACCTCTTATTAATTCACCAAAATATGAATTGTATATAATATTATTAATCATGAATATGTATGTATATAAAAAACTATATATAAATAAAAAACAAACTTATAAATAATATATATATATCTGTATATTATATGCAATAACAAAAATATATATTTCACTAAATTATTCTATTAAAATAGCATTACATAATATATATATATATATAAATATATAAAATGAAAAAGAGGTAAAAATAAAATCTTAATAATATAAAATGGTCTTTATTGTTAAAATCAGAAATCCCAACAAAATTAAAAAAAAAACTTACAAAAGAAAAAAAGTCAACCAAATAAAATTTAAATTAACAAAAAAAAATTATTATAAAATTATATTAAATTATTATTATATACTTATTATTATTAATGTTGTGAAAAAGTTAATAAGTTACAAAATAAAAATTTTCAAATTTAAATTGAATTTTTAAAATGGTTTTAATATCACAGTTTTAAAATTATAAAAGATACAAAAAATGTAACACTGCACATAAGGTGATGGGTATGCAATATATTTTTTTACAGTTTTATATAAAAGCAAAACAGTTCATATGATTTAACTGTGCTACTCATAAAAATTGCTTATAACCATGGATGTAGAACAAAATACGGATAGTTATATGTATGCTTTCATAGAAAAAAAGTGAAGCTAAAAGAAAGAAAGTCACGGAGTGTCTTTGACAAGTAAATGTTGTTTTTCATATTGCCATCTCTGAAGATTATTAAAATACGACAACTTTTTATGTTGCAGCATTTAAATCATATTCTATGTTAGCTTCAAAATATTTATGCTACTGTCTGTTCATAAAGTATAACTTATGCTAATAACACTGTATTTTTCTGTGTTTATCTATAAATTTGATTTGCAGAATTTGTTGCTGAACACTAATATAACACATTTTCGTTATACTAAATTTATAGAAAGGCCTATAATTTTTAAATATCTCGAACAACAATTATAACGTTGCGTTTAAGTATTCAAGTATAACACTTTTAATTTCTACCGCCTGTAACTGCAAAGGAGTAGTTGAACGGCATTGTCATTCTTCAATAATTAAATTTAATTATGAAGTAATTTAAAATAATTTTCGATTTTCCTTGATAAATTAATTAAAAATTTCTTAAAATAATATTATAATCACATTTAACAACATGTTAAACTAATTGAATAACTATTATATGAAAATTTTATAAAATTATTTATAAAGTTTAATGTTCCATAGGCATATTTTTATAACAATATGTTTTTAATTTAATGGTTATAATTCCATAATAAATTAACCAATTAGAATTATACAAAATAATTACATATATCTAATTAAGAGCAGTAAGTAAAATTATTTTCCAACTTTATACAAATATAAAGTATATATAAAATATTAGTTTCAATTTTGATTTTCAGTAATTTTGTGGCTTAATCTGGAATAACATTAAAAATTAAATAATTTTCTAAAATGAAGAAAAGATTTTGGAAAACAACGTAGGTTGCTCTTATACGAGTAAATTCTACTTGAATTAGCCAAGACTGTCGTCTTTATTTTATTTAAAATATCCAATTTAATTTCAGATATATATGGTTTTTCTTAAATATTGTTGTTTTATGTCTTCTTGGATATGTTTTACAAAAAGCTTGGCAGGATTTCTCAACGAAACCATTAATAACAGTATTAAATGACCCTTTGTATCCTATTAAGGATACAGATTTTCCAGTTGTCACTCTATGTTCAAGTAACCGATTATCGAAAAAGGCTGTGCTGGAATATGCAAATGAATTGTATAAATAATAAAATAATTTAAATAAAATTAAAATTAATTTGTTCTTTGTATAGATCATTACGCGAGGAATCAGATAATAAAAATGTAACAAATATTGTGGATAAATTAAAAATGCTTAGTTACCTATATAGTATAAGCTCTGTTGATGGTATTGATGATAGTGAATTGCTGTCCTTTGGTAAATTAATTGAAGATTTTTCGAATGATGGTAAAATCAAATATTTCAACTCTTATGAAATATTTAAAAGGGTAAATTTTATATTTAAAATTAAATTTTTGTGTAAGAAAATTATGAAAATTTTAGTCCTGAGAAGAGTATAATTTGCAGTACGGCTTATAATTACTTTAAACTAAATGATTAAATTTATTGATTTGTTATTTTAGAATTTTATATTTTTCTATAAAACTAGCTTTTTGTATTTAAATATAACACATATTACAGTTAACTCCAAAATGTGAGGATTTAATAGTAAGTTGTGAAATAGGTGGTGAAACAATACAATGTGATGAAATTATTAAACAACAAAATTCAGAGTATGGTGATTGCTGTACTTTTAATATAAGTGAAAAATCAACTTTAAATAATATTAGGTAACTAAATTTTATTATATACAAGAGCATTGAACAAAATTTTAGTTTCTTTTACTAAATAATTTTAAATTTTTAATTAAATTTAGAAAAGTTTTTAGAGAAGATTATTTATTTAGAAGCTCTGATACTGGATTGATATTAGTTGTTAATATGTCGACAGAAGATTATTTTTACACCTTATTTAACACACAGGACCATGTTGTAAGTTGTGCTATTTTAGTTTTACTATTATTATTTTGAAATATTTGTCCGAGATGAAAGAGCACTCGATTTTATGACGCCTGTAAGATTTCCGAGTTATCTAGTTGAATAGTATTAATCTCACGATTATAATTGGGTATTCGACAATACCCGAAGATTCGATACTCAATAACCTGCTCATACACCGTAACAGGAGCAATAGCAAAATCACTATTGACCAGAATCAGTAACATAGAATTAAAAATTTAGTGCTACTTCTATACGTACATAATGTGCTACTTCCTATACGTACATACATATATTGTACATATGTATATTCATATATTTTCCATAATAATTATATAACATAGTTGCTAAAACATCAAAATTATAAAAACAGAAAAATTTTAGGTGGGGTACGTCATCTCCATGTAATAATTAATTATATTTTTCATGTTAGTTTTTTTAAAAAATTTTTAAGTCAGTAGTTAAATTAAGTTAATGTTTGTGTAGGTATTAAATAATTCCATTTTGTTTAATTATTACGAGACAATGACATGTAAATATAATTTAGTTGACATTAACATTGAGGAAATCTTCTTCTTTTTGTTTATTTTTTAATAATAATAAAGCAGGTTACAATAATATTATTGTATGATAATAAACGATTTAGATTAAAATTTCATTTTTTAGGAAGCAACAGGAACCATTTTAATGACATATGACGCATATAATATTGTAATGTAGGTCTGTTTAGTATATAGAGAGTAACACATATCATATTTTTATACGTAATTAATTGTATGAGTACATAAGTATTTTTACGTACATTTAACAAATTTTATGCGTAATACATGCAACGTCTATTACATAAATTAAATTGAGTTTTGTTTTTAAAGAAATTAAAAATGTTTTACATAAAAAACTGTTATATAATATTCAAATGTAATTCGTATATAAAAATTTTATTGAAAATATAAAACTTACATACATATATATTTGTGGAGAATTTGATTTCTTAACATATATATTTGTGAGGCATTGATTTCTTAACATTCGCAGCTACGAGGCATTACATTTAAACTTAGAATCGTTTCCCATATTGTCATATTGTATAAATAGTCATAGATTAGCTTCCATTGTAGTTTGAGGAGCTTGAACAACACAAATTTATATGGCCACATTTTGACCAAAGTCAAAATTTAAAGTTTAAATACATAAGTTATATTATCATATACATGCATATGTATGTACATATTATATATGTTGTAATTTCAGATACATGTCTATACAAAAAACAAATATGATGACGGTTCATCTGGTGGTATAATTGAAAAATTTATAACGGCTGGCGAAGAAACTTTTATTGGAATTATTAAGAGATTTTTACATAGTGACGATGAAGTTCAGAAATATGGAATAGAAAGTGTAAGTTTAAACTAAAGGGGGCCTTTGTCTTAATTTTAATAAAAGCTTTTTAATTAACTAAATGTTTTGTTTGTAAATAGTTTTCATTACAAATATAATGTGCACATTCACTTGCATTTTGTTTTTTAAATTTGAAAATCTGCGGATTTTAAGTAATCATGGGAAGGCAGAAGGAAGTATCATGAAGAATTCTGCAAAATACCATTTTGTTTTTAATGTTAATAAATATTATATATGATAACATAAATATTTTTGAATTACCTTTAATTTGAATAACTCACCTTTATAAACATTATCAATGGACAATATTATCTCTTTACAGCGAAGATGTTTATTTCCAAATGAATTGCCTAAAAATATTGCACCAAATTATGGCTTAAATAAATGTTTAACAGAATGCCGTATCAATAGTATTAAAGTATTATGTAAATGTATACCATTTTATTATTACGATGAAGCAATATTCTCATATGAACGTAACAGTGACAATACAATACAATTTTGTACATTACAACATGTTGCCTGTTTGGAAAAATACCGATGTAAGTCCTTTATAATATATGTATATATATAATTAAATGTTTTTATGCTCAATACATAATCCATGAGATGTTGCGAGATATCTGATACACGTTTACTTTATAATTAAAATAATTTTATTTAATTTTTATATTTAAACCACTGCCGTATTTAGTATATACGAAGTATATACCGAAGTTGGCCCGATTGAACTATAGTTCGTAAAAATTTTTCAATGCGGTGGTCTTATACTAACCAAGGCATTGCATAGGCATAGGCTATAGCCTATAAATCATTAAATATTATATATACGTATATTATAATTCAACAGTTGGCGGAAAATAGATTATATTAAATATGATAACGACGAATAACGAAGCCAAGGACGACTACCAAATTCTTAGTCAAAGTTCTTTTTATTTTTTCCTGCCAAGTACCGAGTAGGTATATAAAAGGTGCCCTTTTTTTCTGACGGCTAATATATTTCAATTATTTAAGGTCGTTATCGGCTATTTCTCGAGTAGATATTACTTCCCCCTGTTTGTTACGAAATTTGATCGTATTTATTTGAAATTTCAAAATTAAACAACATAAATCAGGTTTATGCTATTCAATTATTTCAATTATTTCAATTATTCAATATTTAATCTTTATTTTTATATATAAAAGTTAAGTGGATTAATGTTGTCACAGAACGTATTAAAAGCAAGGAACTAGAAAAAGAAATTGAAGATTCATTATATTGTCCCCAATGTTATGTGTTATGTTCAAATTCACAAATAAAAGCATCAGTGAGTAGTTTACCAATACGTCAAAGTATGACAACAAGCGAATTACTTAGGTGAGTGAGTTAATCAAATTTACCAAATTATATAATATTATCTGAATTATAATCTACAACATATAAATAAGTTATAAAATAAATTATTAATGCATATACTTTTCATATTTTTAGTGACTTTTCAAATTTTAACGATTTGGCAATAGTAAGAGTTTTTTATAAAGAAGGTTTTGCAAAATATTATAAGCAAACTTTAAAAAATTTTTGGTTTGAGGTTTTTAGTAAGTATATTGTATACATATTGTATATTTATTAAAATTAATTTATTAATAAAATTATAATATATTTGAATTTGCATGATGCTAATTATATTGTATATAAACATACATATATGTATATATATAAGCTATATGTATAATGTTAAAATTGAATTATTTCCTTGAAAATAAATTCCAAAATTTTTCCACATTCAAATTAGAAAATTATTAAATGTTTGCTTAAGTATTTTTATACTAAATAAACCGAATATCCTTTAAAACATTATAAAATTATTTTGTTAAACATATACGCACCAACACACTTTTATATTTTAACCTTTCCAAATACAAAAAAACATGTACAAATCAAAAAAAAAAATAATGCAAAAATTAATATATTTTTTTTTTGGTAGTTATTACTTTTAATCACACAACTCTAAAATTTATGAAAAGAGAACAACAAAACAAAGGATTTAGGGAATCGTGTCACAAAATACGAAAATTATTGAAAGTCCAATTCCTTCCTCACTCTACACATACATACATATACATATATATAAATAAATATAAAATTTAATAAAAGGTATAAAATTGTTTCAAATCAGTATTAAAATCATAAAAAAACAATAGAAATAAATTGTTGCCTAAAGGTGAAAGAATTATTGCTGATTGTTAACAAGTTAACAATATTTTTAGCATGTTGGTTATATAAATTCGACAGCAATACTTATGGACGGCTTTAGTTTTCGAATACTTTTTTGTTTTTGCTTTTTCTTTATTTTATTTTTTTTTTACAAGGACATTAGTCTTTGAAACTTCTAAAATTGTAATAACTATTTGAAGTTTTTTTTTTTGTATAATATATTATGAGTAGTAATTTTAAATGACTTATGTATGAAATTGAATTTAGGTTTCTAACAGCGTTGAAATAATTAAAATAATTCATTTTGAGTACATATTACAGTTTAGAAATGCATAATTCTCCCCCTTAGGCGAAAAGAACCTGAAATTTAAAAGTATTATCTTTGAAAATAAAAAGAGATTAAGTTGGCAAATATAAGGCCAGTAATCTTATATAATATTCGTCTAAGTCCGCTATTAGAATTCAGCTAGCAAGGATTTTTCCCATATTTGATTTTATAAAAAATTCATCATCTTATTATTAACTGGAAGTTTCTCCTTACGCAGAAGTCCCCTTGATATTTCAATTGATCGTCTGGATTTACCTCTCCTTCCCCCCCCCCCCCCCCTCCTCCTCCTCTTTAAGCTAAAGAAAAAACGGAACTCCGCTTTGGATAGACTTTAACCAAGATTATGATGAAGCATCCTCACAAAACTCATCTTAAGGCTGGGATTTTGTGTCTCTATCTTGCGGATAAACTTCTTCCGGCAAAAATCGACGGTTGTCTCATCTTTCGAGATGTAGGTCACACGGAGGTGCTGTCTGGGAACGTTTTTGTACAACTATGTAGTACAACTATGTTACAGCCGTTTTAAGGATTAATTTTACGGCAGACACTGGTGATTCAATACTTGGTGTTCCTGTTGTTAACTGATTGCATGTGACTGATACTCATACGCGCTTTTGCGACAATGCATTAATTAGTATAAGAGTCGGCAACCTTGTTCATTTCGTACATGATGGCTACTTTTATTTTCCCCATTTGGACGTCGGATATCCTATCATTAGGGTGCAAACCATAAGAAATGGCTACTTTGATTTGCACCACTGCATCCATGTAAGAAGTTTTTTTTTTTGCATTGTTGCGAAATGTTCCCAGAGACCTTTTTCTTAGCAGTACCGCATACGTATTTTGGATGCCGTTGTTTTTTGCACCGGCGTGAGAAGAATTTCTTCCTCAAGAATAGGGCTCAATTTTTTAATGAAAATTCTTCGATGGAAGCTTTATTTTTGGTGGTTTCGCAACTTTACTGTGTTATCTGTAATGTTCTCCTAGATTATGTTTCTCATTGCCTTTGTTCCTACAATATACAAGAATTCTTGAAATTAATAAAAAGAATTTGAAAATTATAGTCCTAAATATCATAGACGTTTCTACAATTGCTTTGCTTGTTGATATTTCATATATGTATAGTAGTTGTGCCTATAATAAATTTAAAATTGTATACACTTGTATATTTACATACACATATAGTTATATTTATTTATTTACGAAATATATGTTCGTATATACCATTATACAATTATTCCCAAAATAAAGTAACCTTTTTGGTTTGCGTGATTTAAATAATATTTGGCGAAAAAAAAGAGGACAAAAAAGTTAAAAAAAAAAATTCATCATGCCAAATTAATACTAAAAAGAAACAATTTTAGTAGGTAGGATTAAGGTATAGATTTTATTTTGTTTCACTTATTAAAATATACAGCCCTCTTCCTACAAATTTATGTGAATTGATCTCCTATATAATATGAGAAATAATTTTATGATAACATGTAAATAAAAATATTTTGGATCGTTTAAAGAGTGAGGAAGTTTTTCTTTTTTTTTGATTATTAGAGACAATTACAAGAAATTTGTTAGAATGTATGAATGTAATTTGAAAAGACTTAATTTGGGAAATTTCGTCATAACTCGACTTCTCGAACTATGTTTATTATTTTGAATTTCACACGATATAGTATTATACTTATTGAATTTCAATCTTGAATTTTTGTTAATTGTTAATACTTATAACAGCACAATTTTCCAAATTTCACTTTAACATTAAATAAGATAATTATTTATTTATATTGCATAAGCACAGGCGTCTCTTTTAAGTGTCATTCAAATGTGAAAGTACAAGAAGTTTTCTTTTTTTGTTTTTAATTAATTGAGCAATATTATTAACGTTATTTGAAATTTTAACTAACATTTTAAAGTATTTTGCTATATTTTTAATATTCTAAGAAATTCTAGAAAATACCCGCACGAACACAAGTTCAAAGGGGTACTAAAAATTTACCTTCCGTTTGTAACGCTAAGAAATGATGATTTGAGATGTAGTTCGCCCGTCCGCCCATCCCAACCATAACTTAAAAATTAATTGAGCTAAGCTCAACAAATTGATTTTAAAAGTAAATCCCAAAATCCTATTTAAATTGAATGTTATCGAGGCTTGAATGGTTCGGGTAGTTACCCTACAACCTCAAAAGTTATTTGGCTATAATTAAGAAATTATGGAAACTATAACATAAAATTTTTGTACAAGCAAATATATTATTAAGACTGCTAATGTGTGATAAATATTGTTGAAATTTCTTGACTCCTTGTAGCAGCTGTTACGCAACATTAACAGTTATTTGTTTCTATCTTAAATACCACTTAAGGTAGAGTGCTGAAATTATGCATAAATTAATATGATAATACGGCAACTATTATTTTCGTGCGAATGTATGCTCGAAAGCTATTACAAATTCGCCAATTCATTTTTAACCGTGGATAACAAGTTCGTACGGGTATCGCAGAGTTGACATGATTAACTTTATTTTTTCTAGTTTTAATTTATATTTTTATTTATTTTTTTGTTTCAAAGGTACAATTGGAGGAATTTGCGGATTAATGACAGGTTTGTCATTGGGTGCATTGTGTAAAATTATATATTTTTTAATAATAGCTTGTAAGAAAATTTACTTAATATCAATAACATAAATTTAAAAATAAAGCTGCATTAAATACTTATATACATGCATACATACTAAATGCATATAGATTTTCATGTTAAAATCACACAAAATTCATTTGTTTTATATTTAAATTTAAAATATAAAAATATTTATTAAAATATTTTAGTAAGTTGTATTTGTGATTGTGTGTATATGAATGTGTAAAATTAAAGATTTTTGAATTCGATAACTTTGTTTGATTATTTTTATTTTCCTCTTCTATAATTTATACAACTTAATATTTAAATATCTTATTTTTCAGCAGTTTTAATCAGATTTTTTTTCAAAATTAAAATAATTTATGAAACAATTAATATATCTGCATTGTGTAAACAAGGGTACTTTACCTAATTAAAATTTCTATAAGGAGTGTAATTTTTCGTTTTTTTTTTTTTGGTTTAATTTTGTTGAATTCGTGATAGGTTAATTAATGAAAATAAAAAATTTAATTCTAAATAAACTAATTGTGTATATAAATATAATATAAAAAAGATTTCATGTTAAAATAATTATATGGAAAAATTTTTAAAAATAATTGGATAATAAGATTATTGTTATTAAAATTATAAATCAAAGAAAATTTAAACTTAAATTTAAATTAAAGTCTTATAATTCTTTTATAAATTTGTGAAATTTCATATTCCGATTATTATAAAACAAAGTTACTGAACAGAGTCCCTACCATGTAAAAAAAAAACACATTACAAATTTATGCGAATTTAAGATGCGATCCATAAATAAATTGGTACCATATAACAAATGCTCATGAAAATATAGTTGCAACCGCAAATATGTTTCGTAGCTAACGTTTGTTAGGATACTTGGTAAATCTACAAAAATAATATACATATAAAATTGACAGATTTTATTTACTTAGTATTTAAAAAAAAGTATAAAATGGAGTGCATATGACATTATATTAAAGCTATAGCGGGGATGATTCCAATCGATACTATGCAATAGAACGAAGAATATATTATAACTGTTCCAGTTATTATTTTCAACTATCTTCTTTTATTCAGTCACTGAACGATTTTAATAGCATTCAGACCATCCGCCAACATTTGTCATAATTTATTACCATTAACGCAACCGTTGACGAAACGTGCGTAGCCTTTTGCGAAATCCTTATGTGCTGACTGAAAAAATCAAGATTTAGAATTGTGATGGTTTTGTGGTTTGTTTTAGAAAAAAGCATACATAAATTTATAAGATGCTCATAATAAATTATATAAAAACTTTTTTGTATGTACTTACATTTTTGCATTTAAGCTCCAAAAAATTGAATTTTTAAAAAATTTTATTTAAATACTATACTATTTACAATACAAACAAAATATTTAGTAAATGTTGTAGAAAATGTGCGCAAGCAGCCATCTGTACTTCTTTACGCATGTATAAATTTCCGCTTTGAGCAATGCAAGATGTCGCTTTTCCAAATACGTACGTAAATTTGCAAAAGTAGCAATAGATGGTAGGGCGCCGATAGTGAACAAATTTTGAATTCTTTAAAAAGCTGCCGGTTTCATTTTAGTGAATAGTAAATCTTAATACAAATTTTTATATGAACTTTATATAAAAAAATATCTAGCCGGACTCCTTTTAAAAATAATAAAAGAAAAGGAATAATAGTACAATATTAATATATAATTATGTTAATTTTTGTGAATTAAAAAAAATGTTAAACTATGTTCTACTTCTTTAATAAAAAATTTTTTTGTTAATTTATGCACATATTTTTAATCTTTAATTTAATAATACTTAACACGATTCAATTTTAATAAAATATGTATAAAAGATTTGTATTTGATTTTTATAAGATAATAAAATGTACATAATTCAAATATAAAATGTTATCTATGTAATACATAGATAACATTAACATATTTGAATTATTAAATAACTTGGCGTCCGGATTACAGTGCTCCCAGTTGTGAAAAAAACAGACCAATGTTATTAGACTTGACAATTGACCTTCGAAATCATATGATTTGACGTCTTAAAATTATTTATTAAGCGAAGGTATGTATATGCTAAATCTTCTGTAAAAATTATTTAAACACAACACTTCGATAGCATTTAACATTTAACCAAATACATTTTGGTTTAAGAGCGCGAAGAAAAACTATTCAGCATTAGACACTTCAAATTTATCGCCTAAGATGTAATCGTGACCAAAATTTATGTGAAATTTTCAGAAATAAATCAGAAGCTATGGTTACATAGTAGGTAAGTTTTTTTTCGTTTTTCTTTATATTTGTTATTACAATATAATTGTTATTTACAATTAAATTGTTTATTAACAATTTTCATTCTAATTAAAATCACTTGATTTTTTATTTAAATTATTATTTTCATTTTATTTCTTTGTTTTCACTTTAAAGAGTTGTAAATTAATTGAATTTACAACAATTAGCATAATATACTATGTATATGTCAGTTTAAAACAAATAGCCTTAGAAAATGTAAAAGATCCACTCCAGTATATAAATTAATTTCTTTATTATTTATAATATTTAATAGATTTTTAATTTGTTTATAATTTTTAGAGGAAATTAATTTTAATTTTAAATTAACTACATTGTATATTTGATTATTCCTAATTGTATATGCATGAAAATTTGTCTTGATTTTTTTTCAATATAAAAATTTTAACCCCTTGGGGCAAAATGGTCGAAATATAGTATGCAAATATTATTTGAGTACAATATATATATTAATACGTGTCTATTCTAATGCTTAGATAATTCTTAGAATCATTCATTTGTTTGGGTATCACGGAGTTAATATACGATCCAATCTACTTACTTTCATTTTGAAGAAAATTAGAGTTGGGTAGTTACACAGCAAAATTACAAGATATACGAGTATTTTATTTCGACTTAGGTGAAGTAAAAATTTTGATAAAACTCAGATATTATTACTTTTTTAAACCTTTTTATAATGATTTGCAGATGAAGTTCATAATATTCTAATAGAAATAATCAGATGTTTATAGTTTTATATGGACAATCGACATTTTCTTGACTTATCAAAAATTTTATAAGAAGTCAGTTGCCGGTTCACAAAATTAATTATGGTAATTTGTAAAATTATAAATATAACAATCTTGTGAAAATATCAATTGCGTCCTTGAGAAAATAACATTTCTAAATGCTTTTGTTTCATAGTCGAATATTGATTTTTTTGTTTACTGCAAAAAAAATATGAAAATTATTATTCAATCTTATTCTTAATTGCAAATCAATCTTAATTTAATTATTAATTTTTTTAATTCCAAGAATATTGCATAATACAAAAAACATTTTTTTTTATAATGACCGTTTTTTATTATTTAAGCTTTTTAAGAATTCAATCAAAATTTTTTTAAAAATAATTTCTTTCAAATAAATTATAAATTATTTGACGTTTGACAAATGACGTTTTTGTTGAATAAACAAAATAAAATGTCCTATTTTTGAAAAGTGCAATTGAAGGTTAATTGATTAGGTGAAGTGGATTTTAAAATTAAAAACAAGATTACAATTTTGTGCATCATATGTACATACATAATGAAGAAAATACATACATATATACAAAATACATACAAAACAATAATATATTAAAGTTGTATATTGAATGTATAACAGTAATTGTACAAAATTTTAAAAATTTGTTTTTAGCAGTTTGGTGAAAAAAAAAATGGAAAAAGGGTGCTAATTAATTTTAATCTGCCCGTCCTTTCATTTGCGAGTCCATTCGTTTGGCCGTTCATAAGCCCATCCTTGAAAAGTTTAAGTCACAATTGCTAAAAATTACATTTTTTGCCAATTTATTGATTTATTGTCCAGAATTCCAGAAACTCAGAAAGGTAGCGATATATTTCATCTACCGTGAAATAGGTTGAACATTGAAATGAAATAATTGCCATTAATTGGTTGACATGTCTTGTGCAGCATATCCACCGCATTCCTACGATCACCATTTTTTACCAACCTTCCTCCATTTTTTTTTGTTTACCCATCCTTAATGTATGCAATAATTTCTTATATTATGGAATATTAATGAAAGTGTAATATAAATAGATTCAGACTGCTTTTAAAATAAGTATTTTTAATTGTTCAGGAGAAAAGTGCTACTTTACAAACCATTGATTTAATTTGAATTTATTTTTTTCTATATTTCTTAATTTTAATTTCAAAGCAAACATATGTGTTGCAATGCGATAAAAATTCTTTTAACAAATTAAGTAAATGCACGCATATATACAATACCAAAATGCCCATAAAACAAAATACAAATGAAAAACACTAGAAAAAATATTATAATGCAAACATTCATAAAATATTCATGCATGTGCCTATATAACACAAAAAAAAAGAAATCTGTTATATTCGCATGTTTTCTACAAACAATACATTTATAGTTAAAACTGTAAATATATCATGGTGAAAATTCGAAAAATCCGTTTCTTTTTTCTCGTACTACCTTTGTATGTATATATACAAATAATATCAAAAACGAAAAATCTTATAACCATTATTAATTAGTGAAATAATTGCTTCTATATAGTTTCTTCCCTTCATTAATACAAATGAGTGTACATATATATATATATATATATACGTATTTAAAGACCTTAATAGAATGTTATTGTTAAAATATAAATGAAAATGAAAATATAAGGTGAAAATAATGAAAATGAGAAAAAAAAAATAAAAAAAGGGAATAAATAAATAACTGTAAACGTAATTGATCCTTTACACACAAATTTTCCTATATTTATTTTATGAGTTATTTTTATGGTTTTTGGTTTTCATTTTATGATTTTTGATTTTTATAAAAAGTGTTACGTCATTATATTGTTCTATTGTGTTGAATATATTTATATGTATGTATATATATAATGTGAAAATTTTTATATACTCGTATATAAATACAATAAAATCGTCATAACACCTTGTACTTTCGGAATTTTCAACACGATTCAATTATATTTTTGGAAACAATGAGTTTATTGAGTCCAAACATATTTTATAATATGTAGTCTAAAATATGAAAGAAAACTCAATACTCTTAATTTTTGACTTAAAAATGAAAGAAATTTTGAATTCATTGAAGATTTTTAAAGCAATAAAAGAATATTGCATGTTTAAAAACTGCGTCAGTAGAAATTTCGCAAAGCGAAGAATTTTTGAAAATTTCTTCATACGTTATACTTCTACAAGTTGTTTGGCAAAAGGCATAATTGTTTTGAAAATAATAGACTAGTAGAACGATTTTTTTCTAGCATAGACAAATTTAATAATTTTTCTATTTTGAAATTCGTTCTATGTCTTGTGATGCTATACACTATCACTGATTTTTTCATAAACTATACTATGTAATTTTATGAAAAAATTATACTTGTTTCTATTTCTAAGCAGTTAAGCTCCGTCCAAGTGAAAATTGTAAGGCTTACCATGTTTCTTAATTACACGGGCAGTTTAGTGTGAACTGGCAGTTTACACGGGCAGTGGAATTTAGTTTTTTCCCAAAACAGATACGAGGTTGAAACACAATCGAATCTTTTTTCAATATACTCTATACATGTACACTTTTATTTATAAACTAATTTATTTTTTATGTACGTACGTACATATGTATATGAAAATATAAGCTGTTATGAAAATATCACACTTAAGACCTCATACAATAAAAAAAATCTTGTATCAGGATTTAACATGATTTCTCATTATTTTTTTCATATACATACATACATACATATTTTAATAATTCTTGCATATATTTCTTATAATATTATTGGAAGGACCTCAACTAACTTCTTATATATAGTGAAGTAAAAGTACTTACATACTTGAATATATATTTAAATTAATTATTTTCGTGTTTAGTAGGACTAAAAGAATTGTTTTTTTTTTTTTCGTTTTTGCAAAAATATATTTTGTTTTTTAAAGTGACAGAATGAAGTAAAATAAATGGAACAGTTTTTAAGCTAAGAAGTTGTTTAATGCAATAACACTGATAAGAGCCTGCACGAATTTATTAAAGGTATAAAGTGTTCCCTGTACCTTCGTTTCTTGAAGATGCTTATTTAAACAAAGGATCATTTTAAAATTTCTTTGAGCATTGTGTATTCTAATGGGTAAGTTATAATTTAATTTTGTTTTGTTGAGTTACCCCCATAAGCTTACTTTCTACTTTCACCTCTACACTTCTACCTAAAATATTCGGAAAAATTTTTAATAAATTTTCTTAATCAACTGGATACTCGCCAAAAATTTGAAGTAGTGGTCTCATTCGGTTCACTTTCTTCAACCTAGTGTTTAGATATTCTTTGCTTTCGATCGTAAAATTTTTTTGTGTACCAGAAATATCGATATAATTGATAGGCATACATGTATATGTAAATATATTAATAAATTATAATAATTAATAAAAGTTTAATAAATACAAAAATTTGGTTATTACGTCCAATTTAATTTTTATCACCGTACGAATGAATATGTAAAAGTTATTATAAATTTACGACTCCGTTTATAACGCTAATAAGTAGACGCCGGAGATATTTAAATACAAGTAAATTTTTTTGGCTGGTGTCAAATTTTCAATCGAATTAACTTTGTCTGCCTTGACCGACCGTCCGTTCCAGTGATATTTCAAAAATCCATTATGATTGGCTTACAAAATTTTCGTATAAATTACTTAAAGTTGTTATACAAGAATTCCTTTTAATTTGGGTTCAAATAAAGCAAGGGTTCAAGTAGCTGGCATGCGTTTCCAAAAATAATTTTATGATATTTTGGAAACTATATAAAGCGGCAAATATTTAAATTTTGTATAAACGAGTAAGATGATGGGTGTATTAAAATTTTGGATATGGTTGTATAAGTTTTTATAAATACAATAGCTGCCATAGAGATGATTTAAAATTTAAAAATAATTTAGTCATATCTCGGCTTTCTCGAGTTCAGAACAGATTCAAGATTGACAAAGTTAACTTTACTTGTTCTCGTTTTTTTATTTTAATTCCAGGTTTTTTTTTGCCTCTTATCAAGTACGCCTTTCAATATATTAATAAAATTCTTATTTTCTAGCAAAAATTATTCAGCTTTTTATTTGCAGTAAAAAAATCATAAACAATTATAACGTAATCATTTCGGAACATTCAAAGCACATCGAATTCTTCATAAAAAAAATTTTTTTGATTATACTTTTTAAATTATTTTTGTTTTTAAATTCTTCTCATTTTTTATTAAAATTATAAAAGAATCTTTGTTTATCATAATTATTATAAATAAAAAAAAAATTGACTTTGACAATCGATGTTACTCTATATTTGTAGTGAATATACTTATACTCGTATGTATAAAACATATTTTTTGCAAGTATGTATACGTTTAATCAAAATATATGACATTGTTTGTCTCTTTGACTCTCTTATCGGTGACCATTTGAGCTCAATTTTATATGTAGATATTTATTTTTTTTAAATTGAGAATTATTACTTAAATCAACTTTCAGTAAAGTAGTTGAGATCTTATACTAGTAAATTAAACTCCAACGTCAAATTTTTAAAACTTTAAATGGATTTTTCCTAGAATAAATTAATTATATTTTTATTATTCCAGATAAATTGGATTATAATTTTATCTTAATTAATTTAATATATAAAATAATAAGATTGAACAAAAATTTTGATTATATTCTGAAAATTTTATAAATTTGAAAAAAGGAAAGAAAATATTAAAATATACGATTAAGATTTCTTTTTAAATTTAAGAAATTTTTATATGCAAATTCTAATTTCATTTAAAATTCAAAACTAATGGCCACAATCAGGTAAGTTCAATTACCAAGTTCAAGTTACCAAGTTGTAATTGTTTTCCGAAGCATTCCGAAGTGATAATTCTAATTTCGAAACAAATTTGGAATGTTGTAATTTTATAACTATATAAATTATTTGTTTTTTAACCTTAGACAAGGTTAGGTTCAAGCGGCTTCCCGAAGGTTAAAATTTGTTCATTTAGACCAGTTGTCGTATCACCGGAAATCTTTCTTTACCATCCATTAGAAGTAGCTCCAACTCCTCAGGAAGCAGCATGGTATTTCTTATATGGTAATTTTTTACAAAAAAAAATCTCTTTATTTAAAATGCACTTTATAGATGAATAGAAAATAATAATTCTTGCATTTAAAAATTTGTCAGCCACGTACTAGTATAGACTATAGTATGCCCTCCACTTGAAAGAAATTTTCAAATTTAGATTTTATATTTAAATTTATTAACTATTATTTTTTTATGTTTGCGCTGGTTAAAATTAAAAATAACTACAAATGTTCATTAAAACTTAATTAAATATTGCATATATTGCGGCGGAAATAAAATAAAATCTTTAAGAATTTTTAAGGATAAAAACTTAATTAAATTTTTATTATTATAAAATTTTATTTAAAATTTAAATAATTAAAAATTTAATATTAAAAATTATATTTACAGGTTTAGTTTCATTCATTTAATATTCATTTTTTTTTTTATGTTATGATGTAAAAAATAATTTTATTCTAATTTCAATCTCATTTACATAATATAAAATAGCTACATAGCTCTAGATTTGAATTAAAATTGGAGTTGCATGTTAATTTTTTTTTAATATTTGAATAATATTCATCCTTAAAATATGAACAACAACCAATCCGAAATTATATTGGTAATATTCAGCAAATAAATTAATTATGAGATAAATTTACTAAGAAAGCAAAAAAAAATTTATTTTGAACACAATCTTTTGATTATTGTTCAGCAAAAAAAAAAAAATTAAAAATAAAATTTTTTTATTTAGAAATTATTGTTATTAATAAAAAAAAACAAAAAAATTATTTTTGATTAGAATTTCACTTTTATTCTCATATAATTTATTAGTTAAATTGAATGCATAATTAATTAGAATTAAAAAAAAAACTCTTTCATATATTTATAGGTGAGTTAACGCATTAATAACAGTAAGGTAATAAAAAAAAGGCTAAAATTTTAAATTTAGTTCAGTAATTTGAACGGACTTTGTTAATAATAGTTGTTATAAAAAATATTATTTTAGTTTTTTTGTTGTTTTTTCTTAATTTTATTTCTATGTGTACATTTATTATTTTAATTTTTATTTATATACCTACTTGTAAATTTTCGCTATATAGTGAAATTTTTTGACCTTAGAACACACAATATACATTAAATAAAAATAAATCAAACCAATAATTGCAGATGTTAACAAACAAAATTGTATGGGCCATGCAAAGCGCGGCGCGTTTACAATTCAATAATAAAATGCCGTTATCTAGCAATAATATTTGCCTACTATATTTTTCCAAATTATATTAGGATCTCTAACGTATCGAAATGGCTAATTGGAAATGATTTTAGCTGGAAGATCATTAAAAAATTTTAAGCATTTAAATAAAAAATTATATTGTTGTTGAATTGTTCTGAACAAAATTAAATAAAAATTAAATTTGTTTCTGGTATTATAAACGTGAATATTAATCATTCTATTCAATATGAAGTTATGCTTAATTTTGAATAGTATAATTATTTTGAAAGCCGTTAAAAATAGGTCACGCGTCTGCAAATGTTATCCAGACTGAGATGGCTATGTCTGTGAATAATTTCAAAATTTATAGGACACAACGGAATTTGTAGCTTGGAAGAAAATGAATATACATAGTTTGAATTAGTTTTATAGTGCATGATATCCAATTTTTGTAATATTTTTTTATTCGCTCAACTTCATATTATTGAGGGTTAAAATAAACTGTGTGGAATAGCATGAATGATGAGTATATTGTGTAAAGAGTTTTTTTTTTTTAAACAGTTTTCTTTGATATTTAAGTTTACTACCGATCAGCAATGCCAAGTAGTTTCAGCCATAACATAGTTTATATTGTTAACTTCTTGTAAATTTTTTTTTTCCGTGTATGTTATGGCTGAAACTAAAGAAATACATTTTAAATTGTTGAAGCCGTTTTTATTGTGTTATAATATTCGCTTATTTGATTTTACGTGAATATTTTCAAAGAATAATATCTAGTAACGCCCACGAACTGTAAAAGTTTCAGTCATTTAAATCTTGTCATCTAAGAGAAAATTCATAACAATATTTGACAGTAGAAAGTTGAAAATGTTTTTGTATATTCTCGTTAAAAATAATTATAAGACTACTAATATAAAAACAAGTGAATTATAATTGAAACATATTGTATTCTGCGTTAAGCTAAGCAAATAATTAAATAAAGCTTCAATTTTTGCAAAAACAAGTTTTATTTTTTATATGTTTTGAATATATTATAAGAATTAATTATGAAACAAAAGCAAAAAAAAATCAGAAACGGCAACCCGGTGCTCCGTTATTTTAAATAAATTATTATTTAATTAATTTTTTTTTTCTTATAAATGAAATTATCATTGAAATTTGAGACCCAGATGTAAAAAATTTAATTAAGATTTTCTTTTTTATCAACAAGCAGTTTTAATTTTTATTTAGTTACGTCCGGACTTTATGCAAACACGAATGTATAATATGATAAATGCAATTTTTGAGAAATAAATTAAAAATTTATTAACTTTCAAGTATATAGAACGTAAAATAAATCTACGGGGAACAGGATTCTATACTGTGATTTCCGGCTCTGTATTTCGATAGTGTCTAGCTCTGCAATATATAAAAATGTGAATATTTTATTATTTAAACAATATACAATGGATTATCCAATATTATTTTTATTTATTATAAGAGTATGCAAAACTTTCAACATGCGCTCTTCATAACTTCTTTAACTTTTCTTTTTTTTTTTTAGTTTTTTAACTTACCTACTTATAACTTGTTAAAATTTAACTTTGATTTAAAAGGTGTACAAATCTGAGTATTGGGTTAAGATTTTTTCTTCTGATTGTATTTGTTTTTTTTTTTTTTGTTTATTGTTGTATTTTCTTTTTTAAAAAAACAAGTAGTAAATCAAATTAAAAGAATTCTTTTTTAAAAGGTGTTTAGCTGTTAAACAAATCAAGTCGTAATTTTTCTATAACAATAATTTGGCGGACTCTTTGGAATTTTAATTTGCAATTTGATTTTGTTTTGTCTTGTTGTTTTTTTTTTGTAAAGATATCCAGGGATATATTGGAGTTTTTTTTAAACTTAACATTTGAAATATAATAAGAGATTCGAGAAATTAAAAAAATAATAATATTAAATTTTAATTTAAAAGCACAAAATAAAAAATTCTTTATTAAAATAATTTATTTATTTGAAAATTATTATTTAAGAAAATATAAGGAAGAATAACAGTAAAAGAAATTAAAGTGAAAAAATGCAACCTCTAAAAAGATTTACACAATGTGGAAGTTTAACAATGTTATTTGTGGTTTTTATAGTACTTTTTGGTGTTAGTTCTACGGCTCTAACAACATTTGGTAAAACAAATCCAAATTTACAACAGCCGACGCAACCACCAGCTGGTAAGTTCTTACATAATATTTGTAAACATTTTATTCGACATTATTTGATATTGCCATAAGACTATAAGAATTTGAGAACGTTTGAATAAATTTCCAAAAAAACAAAAAATTAAAAAATTTAAAAAATGATGACTATCCGTTTTATAATGAAATATTGTTTTATCGTTTTTATGGTTTTATAGAAAATATAATTTCATTTCCGTTCTCTTTTTTCCTTTTTTCCAAGATCCTACGGAAATCATGAAATTTTGTAACCATTTTTTTTTTATTTCTTTCAAATTTTTAAGAAATGTCCAAATAGCATTTTGGTTTTATCTTTGGATATTTTTGCTAGTATTTTTTTTTTCACTTATAAATGGCGTCTTGACTTAAGACATGATATAAAAATAATGGTGTTTTTGAAAATAAAAATTTAAAAAATTCGAGAATTTTATAAAATTTTTAATGTAATGGGATAATTAGGTAGGATTTATTTAAAAATTGGTACAATAAGAATTAAGTATTACAGAATTAAGTATCAAATTGTTCAAGAAAATAAAAATTTCACAGTTTCTTAGAAAGAAGAGAGAATAACCTCTCAAAATACGTTATTTTTCATAATTATATGTAAATTCCTTTTTAGATTAACAGATTCATAAAATAAATAAATTGAGATTAAATTAATTTTTTGAAAAATAGCCCATTTCGCTCCAATTTTCCATTATGTAACTAAACGTTTTTTTAAGAGAATTTTTTATTTACATGATATAATATTGTTGTCTATTGCATGCTTTTAGGATGAAGACAAAAATTAAAAATTTAAAATTTTTACGCTGACAACGATTTACCATTACTTCACTGCTTAAACATGAAAGAAATGCCGAAAATTTCCTTCTAATCAATATAAGTAAAAGTTTCAACCTTTTGCATATTACAGTGTAAAAGAAAAATGAAGTAAAATCAAGTAAAAACATTTATATTGATTTTAAACGACTGAGTTTTACCGAACACCTTGACAATTTAATATCAAAAACTGGTTTTTGAAATATTTAAAATAAGCTTTTAAAGTTTTATGGGAATTTGTCAAGCCATTTCGCAAAAACTTCTTAAATATATTTGAATAGCTTTATTATTTTTTCATTTCTTTAAAATTGGGTTTGAGTAGCTGCTATGCAGAACTTCTGTTGTGGTTTGAGTACCCCATTCGTATAATATCAATTATATAAATCAATCATAATGGTGATTAACGTTTTAACAAACTTACCACACCGGTTTTTAATTTTAATTAAAAAATAATTAAAAAAAAATTTAAGTCATGCTTTTTCTTTTTTCCTTTAACCTCATCGTGCTAACACATATGGAGAACATAAGTAGTATTAATTATTCGACCAAAAAATTGTGTGATTTGATTATATTTCAGTATAATATGTGACTGTCATAAATATACATTGGTATCAAGGCACATTGTCGAAAAACCAACACAGTCATTCCATTTAAACTTTTGTAATAAGAAATAACCGGGTATATAATTTTACAATATCCTATATGAATTCTTTTATTTTTAGTTTTTAAATATGTATTTAAAATACTCTACTTTAGTTGCATGGCAGCAATCCGAACCCCTTGTCAGTATTGGTTTAATTATACATTGCTCAAAAAAAAACAAGTTTGATGGTGGTTCTATTTTTAATTTTTGAATTATTGTGCAATCGGACAGTTGTAAAACTATATAATAAAATCCGTAGCATAGTATTAGAAGAGTGAAACTTATAAATAAGTTTTTCCTGAAGTTCAATCTCTATTTTTTTTTTTTGGATATTCGAACTATATAAATAGCACAATAATTGAACCGTGCACCACTGAAAATGCTTGATAATTTAACTTTTAGCCTATAACAATAGGAGCTCTCGATGACATTAACTGCACTGAATCTCTATTTAATATGTTCAATAACTTATTAATAATAAAAATTAGATATTTTGTGTCTAGTGTTAAATATAAACAACTTTGCCTGATAAGATTTCTTAATTTATTTCTCTAATTTTTTCTCACGATTTCAAATATTTTCTCACGACATCATGGAAAATTTTTATTTTGAGTAAAATACTATATTTTTTCTCTCTATTTTTGTCTTCCATAATTTCACATAATCACTTAAAGAAGTTGTCATGCTGCTTGCATTTAATTCTGAATAAATTTCCTGTGCAACAAAATTAAATAAACAAATGATGTAAATTGAGTGATGTAAAATTCATTTAACAAATATTGCATAATTAATACACATTTCATGAACCGTTACAACATTATTTTTACCTTATTTTAAATATATTTTTTTAAATTAACTATTTTGTTACAAGTTATTTTATATATAATTTATTTATTTATTCAAATTAAAATTATATTGATATTTTTTATACTTATAAAATAATTACTTTCTTTGCAACTGAAATAAAAAATTAATTTGAAATTTTAATTACTTTCAAAACCACAAGATGGTGTATATTGGTTATTTAAAATATTACATAACCGGTATATTTTTAGCATATAAAAATTTAATTATTAAGTTGCATTTTAAGAGACTAACCATTTAGTATATCAATGTCGAACTTAATAATTTTTTAAAAATTCAATAATATTATTACCCCATTTATAAGAGTTCATGGAATTTGATTTAAATAATCGAGGTTTTAAATTAATTATCACTATTTAACAATACAATTACCCAGATTATAAGATGATCTTGCAATTACATTTACCCAGATTATCAGAATAAGATGCAATTACCCAGATTATAAGACGTCGAATGGAATTGGCCGCTGTATTACACGTTTAATACGAGAGAATTAACGGCGCGATTAAAGCGAAAATATAATGATGCTGCTAAATATATGTAGAAATTTCCGAAAAACAATAAAACTAAGTGTTTTATGAAAATGCAGCATATTCCATTCCAGTATTTCACCAAGGACGCTTACGAGAACCAATACAGCTGGAAGCGAGTGTTAAATAAATTTGCATTCAAGAAAAATTAAATAACAAGGAGCTCTCCGAATAAATATAAACAAAAGCGCCCAATACATATCACTTCAAAATAAATAACAACAACATAGAGAATGTTTCTAAATTCTGTTACATAATTACTACAGATGGTGCTGCATAGTTACTACAGATTTGCTATAGAATATGGCAACTACAGAGACCAGTTTTTCAAGTATAGCAAGTTAGAGTAGAAAAAAGAAGCATCCAACATTAAAAGTTTAACATTACTTTTTATTTTTCACAACAATAATTTAAATTTTTCTAGAATAAATTTGAAAAAAAATTAAATTGAAAAGTGCAGCCGTCTACTTAAGGGTTAATAGTTAAATAAATTTTAAAATTGAATTATAATTTTTTTGCAATTGCACTTGACTGTTGATTGGAAATAAAGTTTTCGATTACGAACTGAAATTAAATTTAATTGCAAACAAAAATTAAATAAAAAAAAATTGGAACGTATATTGCAAAACGTCTCAGTTCAAAGTCCATCGTAAACAGCATGTAAGCAAAATCTCAACATAAAAATTCTAATATAATTTTTTTTGCTATTGCGGTTAAAATATTCATTGATTGTGGTAAATATTTGAAACCAAAATTTTGTATATAGAGAAAAGTAAAAGAATTTCTATTTGCCATCGGCTTCATGATCCGCAATTTTATTCAACGTCATCTTTTCTTTTCATATTTTTTTTTTTCGTACTGAGTCTCTCTCCATAATAAATGGTTTCTTTTATTAATTGCGTCCTTGACACATAGGTTTAACAGGTTTAATATAATTGTGTGTATATTTTATTTATAAGCAAAGTAAAGTACACCTGTACATACTTTAACATTTTAGATTAATAAGTATAGATTTAGGTTTTACAAATGGTTAACACTTATTTAGCGTTTTTTTTTGTTAAGAAACCTTTTTTATGGGTATATAATCAGAGTAGCTATAAAAAAAACTGCTGGCCATATAAAAATCCTTTATAATATTTAATCAATATTCGTGTTCTCAAAATATACAATAATATATTAATAGTAAATAAATATTAAATATAAAAACATAATACGCTTAAAACTAATGACTATCATAATATTCTTTATAAGAAAAGAAAATTTTTTCATATAATTTCCCGCTGACATTAATATAATTGGTAATAATAATTCCATAAAATTGGATCCATTATATGCCACTTGAATTCACATTTGTATTATTATATTCCTGATATGAAAGCAAATTAGCATTTGAATTTTGAAAAAAAATTAAGATTCTATTATACTATATAAGTACTCACCAATAGATTAGATTGGGTTTTTATTTTTATTAGAAAAATTGACTTAAATTCAAATGAACGTCTAGTATAGAACTCATTTATATTCGGGAGTCGCATACAGTTTGAAAGTATGTTCAAAATATCATAATATACATAATCACGTGTATACATAATCACTGGAGTTAACTAATATAAATGAGTAGTATTATTTGGGGTGGATTAGAGGTATTGGATAGAAAACTAGAATAATATCTAGCTCTGCCATGTTTCATTATATTATAAAGAAGAAAGACTCTTTCATTTGAAAATATTTACGGTGTCTGGTTTATGGAGTTAATCTCTGTGAAAATTCAAAAGACATTTTAATTTAAAATAAAAAATATAATTTTATATTTCGATTTTGGATACCTATAAACCTTAGGTTACTCAAGCAGACATGAAAATATTCCTCATATCGAATATTGAGGCCAACATTATTATGATATTTAATTGTAATTAATATTAAATTTTGAAATAAATCGCATATATTTTCAATATCTTACTTCATACTAGTAGCTAAAAGCTATACTAAAACTCCAAATACCCTGTAATCAATGAAAAGCCTAGAATAAACTATATACAAATCTATTACCTGCCCGTCGATGTAACATTGGAGCTGTGATAGAAGTTATAACTATGCACTGTCTGATTGGCGAACACACCAGGAGGAAGGGGCGCCGTGAC